TCACTGACGCTGGATTACGGGTCTTTAGCAATCATCGACGTCCGCGATGCACTTTTTTAACATCTTGGGAATGTTTCCCCCCGCTTTTTGTGCTTTAGTGTCTTCTTGCGAGCTTTCGGGGAAAGTTCAGATACTTTTTTTTGGTCACTCTCTCTGGCTTTGCTCATGCGAGGTGTTTATTTTTAGGCTACACTAACGCAATCTGTGCAGGTAAGATAAGATATACGGCCAGTGGGACTTAATGTAATCGTCGCAATAAGTCACTTAATGAGCTTTTTTTTTTTTTTTTTTTTTTTTAATTAGCGAAGGTAAACATAGAGTTCCAATTCGAAACGTGCCGAGCGTCACCGAAAACCACTAAATCAGTAAATTTGAGAAAGACCGACGCCGTGGGAAGCGCGGTGGTGCGCTAATGTTACCCCTCGTGCATCAGGTGCCAGGCTAGTGATGCGACAACGCGGATGATTAGAGACGAATAAAAACTAGTGATGGACCGAATCTGCCGAACTTCAGATTCTACAAAGTTCAGCAAATGCCGAACTTTTGAAGGAAAGTTCGGCAAAGGTTCGGCAAACGTCTGCGCACGCGCGAGAACGCGACGGGGCCAAGGTTTGCAAATGGACGCCGTGCGTTCGTGCGGTTACCATCGTACAGCGGTTACGGTGGGGTACGGAGTAGGCGACGTGGTAATTGTGTGTTTGTCAGCCTTTGTGAGTGTGGTTCTCTTCAATACTCTCTGCCTCAAGAACAAAAGAGCGACCAGAAATGGACGCAAAAATGCCGTGGTCCACTGCGCAAGTGACTAATGGTGCGATATATTCGGGATAACGTGATTTTTATTTGATCTTTCCAGTGACGCAACGAGGTAGTTGCAACATCGACTGACAAGTACTGTAAGGCACTCCTCGCCGTTATAGCAATCCTGTTTTCGGCTCACAACTCGTTTGTGAGAGAACAAAATAATATTGCTGTCAATGAGCGTTATTTCGCGATTTTCATGTCTCTGCATAAAACTCAACAGAACTGTAATGCTGGATGTCGCACATCCGACATTCCTAACTCTTCTCATCTTCCTAAACGCCCAATGTGTCCTAACATCGGAAACCGAAATTTTAAAAGTTAGAAACAAGACGTTGCGAATATGGGACGCGCACTTTCAAGCAAAGCTGGCGTCAAGTGACTCAAATCGAAGAACGTGCATATTTACAATAATATTGTTATCTCTTTCTGGTGAATCAACAGCCGTTGCATTCATTTTCGCGCACGAAACGGTGACTCCCGGGGAAGTAAGAACGCAGTGCTACTGCTTTTTTTTTCAATAACACACACTTGTAGGCAGGGGCGGATTTAGAGGGGGGGGTCCGGATGTCCTGACCCCCCTTTTGATTTCTGCATGTGTAAAATTTAGCGCGTAAAACGAAAGAGACGGGGAGGGGGTTCCTAAACATATATGGTACGCTGACCAACACCTGACCCCCCCCCAGGAAATTTTCCTGCATCCGCCCCTGCTTGCAGGTTTGCGCTGATGAGGCCTCAAAACCGAAACTTGCGTATCGTGATTGCGCTGACTGCGCCCACTACTGCCCAACCCCGAATTGTCGCACAAACATCTGCACAGTTATTTTAAAATTACCAGTAAACATACAAAAATGACACGGATACTATAATCTTGTAAAATATCACCTTATTTAGTGATAACTACGTCAATATGCATTAAAAAAAAAAAAAGAAGAAAAAACCTTGGACGCTTTTTTTTCGCATGATAAAACGATGTATAAACTTTTAGGTCTGGTAACAATGTATTTTTGCCGAATCTTTAGAAAAGTTCGGCAAAAATTCGGCTTTGGCGAATCCTTAAATTCGGCGCCGAATTTTCGATTCGGCGAAAGTTCGGCCCATCACTAATAAAAGCCGTGCAGGCACGTTTTTGTATTGCCAGCCTTGCGCCTGTCGGACGAGTGGTAACTTTAGCGCAATATCGCACTTCCCACGCACTACGAGTCTCTCAAATTTACCGATTCAGGGATTTTTGACGATGCTCAGCAAGTTTCTAATTGGAACCAAATGTTTCGCTAATTAAAAAGTTACACATTTTAGTCAATTATCCGACTAAACGTGATGATTAGACTCCTATATTATGCCTCCCTGGCAATATAACGCACTTGCACAGACTGCAGTAATCCATTCTTCATAGATAAGAAAACAAAAAAAAATCTCTGTAAAGCAAGATAAAGAACTTTGACACTTGATATGATGTGGTAACACTTGTGCAAAAACTATGTTACACAACCGTGTCAGTTTCATACATGCGTTCTGATCTCAGGGGGAATTAAATATGTCTACTTGGATGGACTAATTGAGGTCTCCTGGCTGACAATGTTTGACCTACTAGTATGGGCTGTCATTTGCAGAAGGCGTATTAATGCGCTGTTCTGAATTGCTATATCTATCAATCGATGGATTTTAGTTAAAGCAGCCCAGCAAAAATGCTTAATGTACATTTTTTTTTTTTACATTTGACATTTAGATTAAATGATAAGGCAGCGTAGAGAGTTTCGGATGTTATCTAATTTTAGTTTTACCCAAATTTATGACTTAACCATATGTCGAACCTTCAGGAACGATGCTTTCTTTCATCTATATCACTTAAGTTATGAATTAATTTTTGCGTTCCTTACATTCTGCCTTTATGCAGGGATGGATCCCTCAGTTGATAAATTTTTGCACTTCAACTTCATCGCGCTTGTTTTTCATTTCACGCTTGTTACACAATATAGCTCAGTTTCTGTACAATAGTCTGTAATTTCGGAAAGGTTTGGTTTCACAGAAATGCCAGTGTGTCACTCATATCTCGACTGGTGCTGTTTCTTTTAAAGATTCAATTCAGCAAAGCTGACTTGAGCGTTGCTTAACAATTCTTTGGTAACTTTGAGTTGGACTAGAGCCGTGAGAAACCTAAATGAAAGCATTGGACGGATGAAAGAGGCCAACCCTTTCTGGTTTGTCAGATATTCTCTGTTGCAAGGAATGATAGCGTGAATCATTACAGGTATAAATAATCGTTTCCCATAGCTGCTGCCTCCCGTTTATTCCTGGCCGGCCTTCTGCCCCGACGGAAAAGTGATTTCTAAAAGTAGCTCTCTAAGCGTGAAAGAGTTTTGAAATTTCGCACTTAAGCGCGTCGCAACTCCCGGTGCTGAACGGTCTGTCGGGAGAAACTCTGCGGAGTCATAGCCCTCAGTTGTGAAAGCCTCGCGCGAGGAAAATACTGAGTGATATTTATGGCTCGAGGAACTGAGCAGATGATTCCGTAACCGTAATGAAGTCAGATAAATTCTGCAAATTAGCCCAAGTGAGATTTTTTTTCCGAGGTTTATTGAGTTGCCATTGTTAGTTTTGTTTAGGTGATGTTTGAGAAACTATTTATATAGCAAACTATTATCTTGCGGTACATCGAGAGTTCGCAAACTTGTCGAGGCACATCTGCACCCGCATATTAAAGTATGAATGATGTTATAAACATAAATGATAATGATAACTTTATTTTCCAAATGGTGGAGGCTTGACGAGCCTGAAGCCCCATACAGTGACAAACGCAGCAAGAAACACACACGCACACACACACACGCACGCACGCACGCGCGCACACACACACACACGCACAAAAAACATTTACATAAAAGACAAAACTTCATCAGATTTATCATAAACACTACTCAGTAGACACTGTTGTAGCCCTAGAAGATAACCCTTACAGTTCAAACAAACAAGTAGATAATAGGTAGCATTATATAGTATGCATCGATAAAGAATCATAAATAGAATGAGCGCAAACCTTTAGTTGATATAGAGTCAATACAAATTTCCTTGTTCGCGAGGTAGTTGAGCAATTTAGGTATAGTGTAACATAGCCTTTTTGTGTACCATAGTTTGTCTTACAGCCGGTAACCTTCCAATATTCCATGTGTCGAGTTAAATGGATGTTATCCTTCGGCACTAACTCAGATAAGTCTGTCAAGAAACGCATTTTTTTTTTTTGGTTGTTGTTCTCGAGTTTTAAGCTGATATAATCTATATTCATAGAGGTTAAATATTTTTAGCATTCTGAACTTTCGAAACAAACCCTCACTATGGTAATCGTGAAGCACATTACAAATAATTCTCAATATTCGTTTTTGCAATAAATATAGTTTCTGCAAGTTTGTGAACGTCGCATTACTCCAAACGAGGCTACAGTACCTTAAATGGGACTGAAACGGTGCATTATATAATAATAGTTTTACATTAACGGGTAGGGAAGAACTGTGACGGTATGTTCGTCCTATAACACGTGACAGTTTTGTGACTAAGTGATCAATATGGTTATCCCATGACATTCGTTGTGAAAAGAATACTCCGAGAGTTTTAAAAGTGCTAACAATTTCTATTGGGACGGAATTCAATACGAAGTCTCGCGTTATTAATATACTCTTGTTTGTTGGCCGAAAAATTTAGGCTCGTTTTCTCGGTATTCATGTTCAGACCATTATCTCGTGCCCAGGCGTACAATTTAGACAAGGTTAAATGATAACATCATTCGTTTTTTCGAATCGCCGACCTTGCACCTTTAGCGCACCCCCTCGCTTCCCGCATGCTTCAAGTCGTCAAAAAATTGGCTAATTCTAGGGTTTTCTCTGAGGCTCGGCAAGTTTCTAATTGAAACCGTTCGTTTATTGTCACTAATTAAACAATCAGTGAATCAATTTTAGGTAATGATATAGCTAATTAGGATGTTATTTGAAATCTCTTCCGTCCGTTGTAGCCGGCAGTTTATTCTCGAAAAGTTTTTTTTTTTCTCAAACACTTTATATTCAGGAATGTTCGAAAGTCTTTGCAAAAACAGCCAGCATGTGAAATGTGCCGTTCTCTTACACAATGATGCTTGATTTTGTCGCCTGTTGTCAGTCGGAAGTGCAGGCTTGCGAGCGTGTGGCTGATGTGGTGCCCTCTGTTCTGTGCAGGTGTGGTGCACGAACATCCGCGGATCGGCTCCGACGGGGAGAGTGAGGAGGCGTCTGGGGCGTCCGACGAGATCATCTCGCCCGTGAGGCTGCGCGCCAAGACCAACAACCGCTGGACCAGCCAGGTGACTGCCCACTCCCGCCACTCTGTGCTTCCCTAACCCTGAGACGGGGTGGGGGCAGTGTAAAAATACTAATAACAGTGATGTGATTGCTGCGCAATTGGCGCCAAACTGTGCCAACGTGCTTACCCTGCTACATCTTACATCTGCCGAAATATGGTAAATTTGCGCCAGCATTGCATCAAAACGTAATTTCACTAATATATGAGGCCCCACTCCACGGCCGGATCGTTAGGTAGGCTCGTGCGAATTTTCGGAACCTTCGATTATCGCAACCTTCGATTATCGCCTCAAATGACTTACTACTACATATGTCTGTGTCAAGCACTGACAACGCTTGGAAGTGCCGCTATATTTTTCATGTTTGCGGTCTGTTCTGGCGGGTTAGTTAGCTTCGTTAAGTGCGCTTCCCCGCCGCGCTCTGGTGCACTGCGGTGAAGCGAGAACCGCGCAGTAGGCATCGCGATTTTCTGTCTTGCTTCGCCGCAGCGCACCCGCGTACTGGGTGGAATGCACTCCTCCAGAGTGGGATGTCGCACACGCGAGCGTCGCGCACATAAAATAAAAAAAGAATAAAGAAAAAAGTGTTTAGTGAGCATTAATGTAACAACCATTCCTTTCAGTGAAAATTTTTGCTACTGTATATGATAAAATAAACAGCAATATTCTGACATTTTTTTGTTTCAAATTTGAGATTTGGCAGATACTCTGGTATTTTGAGAATATTTCATATAGTGGTAAACTGTTCCCTAGGTTTATTTTTTATGTCAAACTCCTTTTTATTTATAACCTTTATACAGGTTGCATCTTTGCGATTACACATTGAAGAGTAAATTAAAACTAAATTAACTGGTGCAGTGGGTGGAAACTTTTGAATAACTTCAACCAGTTCGGCGGGATTGTTCACATGTCTATTTTTGTTATCATGAAGTTCTACTTATAAAATGCCATTAATGTTCTAACCAGATGGCAAGAACTTTCTTTTTATCTTAATTAAAAATTTCAGTTTTATTACAACCTTCAGTACTCCAATGAAACATCAATGTAGGTGCTTGACATTATTGTTATAACATTATTTCCATGGAATATAATATTTGATTTACTTTGAACTCTACAACCTTCAGGACTCCAATGAAACATCAATGGAGGTGCTTGACATTATTGTTATAACATTCTTTCCATGGAATATAATATTTGGTTTACTTTTAACTCCATAACTAAAGCAACTATTCACAGCAGTTTATACTGTCCTTCATCAATCAGCAACCTGTTGCTGTTCCTAATGTTTTTATTCACAACTAAACAGCTAGTCTTGTGTTTAGGGGAATCAAACCTGCCGTGCAATTCATAAAGCAACTATTCACAGCAGTTTATACTGTCCTTCATCAATCGGCAACCTGTTGCTGTTCCTAATGTTTTTATTCACAACTAAACAGCTAGTCTTGTGTTTAGGGGAATCAAACCTGCCGTGCAATTGATGCTAGTAAAAGGCTGCACAGAAGTCTGAAGGTAAAGTGGTCATATCTTTTAGTTAGACAGGCCAACACATAAATAAACCTTAACATAATATTTGCTATGGTAGGAGTGAAAACGAAGTGTGTGCTTAAGCTCCAAAAGTTCTTTTTGCTGCTCCAAAATGGACTTCTGGCTGCTCCAAAAGGTGCTCCAAAGTGGTTTAGACTGTAATAATAACAGTTTTAGAGCACAGCTCTTAGGCGCTCATAGCCATGTTTCGTGGCGTCGGCATGACTGTGCACGTTGCATTATGGGACGTCACAGACCTATAGACCAATTCAATTCTTCGCTAAATTTGGCAAAGAAACTGAATTGATGTGTAGGTCTGTGACGTCCGATAATGCAACACTATGCATTCAGTTTCCCCGCTAAATTTAGTGGTAAAACTGACGTCACATGACCTCAACACCAATTTATTTTGCCATAATTTGTGTACGCCTTTGGAAGAGTAAAAGTCTCAATACACCTTAGTGTTTGCAGTTTTGTAAGCACTGGTTTAAAGTATTTTTCAAAGCAACAACAATATTGGGTAGGAATGTTTCCCACTTAAAGGAGCTGTGCAACGATATTCAATTGGAGTGTTTTTTACTTTACACGAGCTTACTGGCACACCTGGGACTCAAGGATACTCACACGCAACGCCATTGGCCAAGAAAGTCCTTTGTTGCGGTGTAATTTCAAGGACAAAAGCGATCATTTTCATTCAATCTCTCCTTTGCAAAATTTGATGACGTAACTCGGGGATCGCAGTACACCCAAGTGACGAAATTTTAATGCGGTTCATAGATAGGACCCGAGCATTGCGTGGACACTCGACTTGGGCTCGTGACAATTGCTAGCTCGAGAAGCATTCGGGTTGTGACCCGTGTCCAATTGCTGCAACGACGACAACAGCCGAGCCATAACAATGTCTGGAACTCAGCACGTGTCCTGTGCCTTGCCAACCCCAGCGCGTGGCTATGATCAACACTGGCGGCATATAATCGGCTCCAGATCACGTGGCCGCTTGTTCTGGCTGCGAGTTGAGGGGGTGAACGCTGCTCGTTTTTCTTTAATTTTTTTTCTGGGACTTCTATTGCGTGGGGTGAAAAACGAACGCGTGTTTCATAGGTCATTAACGTTAGGGATCCGTTTTAAGCGGTGTTTGCGCAAAGTACAAAAATTGTTGCATAGCACCTTTAACACACGCTTACTACTGCTAGTTACCCAAGCATACGTGCATGCAACATCACTGGCCAAGAAGCTTCCTTGTCGGGATGAAATTTCAAGGATAAAAAAGCGGACTTTTTCTTTCCGTCTCTCCTTTGCAAAACTTGGTGATCGGTGACATTATCGCGGGGATCACATTGTTGACATAGTCACAGAAAGGACTCCATGGTTCCTGTATTCAAATGTTGCTCTTAAATTGGACAAGAGCACTGCGTGAGCACTCGCTTTGTGCTCGTGACAATAGTGCACTGACAAGCATTTTGGCTCGTGTGCAATTCACTGCAATTTGGGAATAGCCGAACAATTAGTGTTTGTAATGTGCTATGTGCTTCATCAACCCCAAATTTTATTGCTTGATAACATTTTACACTAATACTCTATACACTTTGTGGTTTAAAAACAAAATAAAAAAAGGGGTGTAAACAAGCAGTCAAGAACAAATGGTGTGGGCAGTTGTCGGTCAGAACTGGAATTATTGAGGGAAATGAAAAATGACTCCACAATAATCAAGCAGGCCAGCTTTGAATGCTCACAGATATTCTGAGATGCCATGGAATGACCCTTACAAAGCAATTTTTATGTCAGAGAAGGAATGGTGATGGTGATAAGAATGGTGATAAGAATAGAGGTGGTAAGATAAGAAGTTACCATGAATAACAGACGCAGCAAAACTAGGAGTGTAAATGGTGGTTCGAATCGAATAACAAGGTGTCATCTCTAGCTTCTAAAGGGTTAAGAAGACAGGCTGCTGTGGCTCTCCCTTGCACTGTGAAGATTATGAATGACACAGTGTTATTCGACTCAAACCACTATCTGCCCATTTCTAAGCAAAACTCTGGAAAGTGTCTGTGTCACATGACTGACTTCAATATGTCAGTTGCAGCATCTAATGAAGGAAATTTGCGCACTGAATGAAGCCGTCCGAAGAGTTTACAACTGTTGCTATTTGGTAAATGTAGGCTCGCGGGAGAAAGAAGCGACACTGCTTCTGTAACTTAAGAGCATGAGCAATGAGCAATATTGCTTCCGCCCCGTGGTCGGTAGTTTGGTCCGACTCTCCCTAATAGAAATGCGCTTAGAAATACGTTAGCGTCAACTGTTTTGAGCTCCTTCCCGCAAGAGTGCGTGCATATATGACGCAAGGCGAAGCCACATGCTTTGGCAGCGGTGCTGGACTGCCGCACTGCAGAAACTTCGCCAGCCTTGACTGCGTAACACAAAATGGTTGACGACAAGTACTATTACTTTTGTTCTTTTGCGGCTGTGCCGTCTTTTGACAGGAAAAATACTAATTTCTAAGCTAGGCAAGATACCATAAAAGAGCATTCTTCAAAGTCTGCAGAAAGAGCTTTCAAAAAAAAAGAAGAAGAAAAAAAATTTTTATCAGAGGCCTGAGCAGTAGCTGACTGAATTTTTTTGTTTGGTTTTGTTTGGGTGCCTTGAAGTCATGTGGGTTGGGCTGTCACTGACACACTTGCTGAGCCTAAAACTGTCCCACTTGGTTTCTTGTACCCGCTTCTGGTTTGGCTGCTTTTCCGCAAACAGAAAGACAAAAGCAGTGTCCGAGACGCTTGAGGAATCTGCCTGCGCCTCTCGGCGTTGCTTTTTGAGTTTCTTTCCTCGGGACACAGGCTCAAGGTCCCCGTCAAGATTGAGTTGCAGGCGGGGTTCTTGGCTGTCTTCTTTGGGCTGCCTAGTTGGGAGGGTATGGACGAGTCTTAAGGGAGTGGGAATGCCAGAAAGTTTCCTGTAGTTGCACCCAGAAATGGTAAGGCTTGGTGCATAATCGCTAACACCTGAGACTGGTGAATGCACAGAAGGGGACAAACCCTCCTGTGTGTTTCTCCAGTCTCGGGTTTTTATAGTTATGAATAGTCGCTAGCTAACTTGTTTTTCTTATCCTTGTGTTTGATGCAAGGGGCCCCTAAAGTGCGGACAATCCATTTATAGCTTGCGGTACTGTAGGTACTGTTGGGTCATTGATTGTTTATTCATTTTGTGGGGCTAGGAGTCGCATGCTTTGACTAACACTTGATTAGGTTAGCATTTCTTTGGACACGTCTGCTATGGCCTTTAATGACAAAATACTTTAAAATTCCCTGGGCCCCTTAAGGGGCCCGTATAATAAGAACCTTACCTAATACTAGGAATTAGTTGGAGATTGTGGAACGACAACTTGTCATGTTTGGAAATCTGACTTGGTAACGGAACTCGGGGTCGAATCTACTATATCCTTCATTTGGAATCGAAAGGCTACTAGGTCTCCCAAGCTTGCTGCTGAACGCCCATGATTGACGGCCACAACCCGTCTCTGTTGGCAGACCCTACCATTTGCTCCTTCTCGTTCTGCAGTCGGACATCAGCAAGCGGTTGTCGTTACCAGCAGACCTGCGTCTACCGGAGGGCTTCCTTAGCAAGCAACAGCAAGTTCTCGATGGACCACTCAGCCGGTCTGTGCGGAGGCAATCTCTGGTGAGTGCTTTGCGGCTACAAGTTGCGCATGTGCAACGGGCCGTGAAACTGGTCTTGAGAGACGGGTGGAGCTGGCGACTTTCGGTACATACCACATAATGCAATTAGGTTGCTGCCTATGTACAGGGCGAGCCAAAGGGATTGACGACTGTTTGAAGGGACCACTTAAATCGGTTTTTAAACTTATCGAGCTACGATTTTTCACAGAGGTGGCCTGAGGATGTTCATTAAGGGTATAAAAATTTCGCCGAACGAACTTGCCCGACTAAAAAGTTACGAGTGGGAAAACCTGAAATCCCTCCCTACGGCGCTGTGCTAACCAAAGACATCTGATTGGCGCAACAGCTGCTAGATGTCGGCAGTGCCCAACCGCGTCAACAGGGGCAGTTAAGGCACTGCGAGTATCGCATTTTTCAGCTACTGCTCCGGTGATGACACCGCTGTTGTCAGCGGCTTGATTTGGAGGTTTCCCTCCGCGTGAGGCACGCATCACCCAGCGTAGAATTGTAGGGCAGCGTGGAGGTCACTGCCGAAACTCCGCCCAAAAACGTCGGTGAGCCTCTTTCATCCTTTGGCACTCCCCGTAGCAGAGAGCATCCTTCACTACTCCCGTTGGGAGCTAAACGCGCACCACGAAGGTGACTTGCACCCCAACACAGCTCGTACTAAATTTGCGGACAAAGCAAAAAAGAGATGTGGGAACAACCAGAAAGTGCGAAGCAAATGGCGACATGTAGCCAAAATTAATTGTAAATTTGGCCATGTGTTGTTACTCTGAAGCATAGCTTATTTAGTGGCACTATTCGCCGCTAGTCGCCGAGAGATGGCATTCTAGATTGCGCTACCCTGCTCAGAAGGACAGCGATCAGCGAGCCTTGCTCCCTCGCAGTGTTGCCAGGTCTACTGATTTTTCAGTAGATCTACCGATTTTGCACACTGTCCGCTGATTCCTTCAGCTTTTCCACTCTGGTGAAGAAGGAAGACCAGCAAAGTTGAACTATGGTGGGAATGAAGTAATGGCCAGTGTGGAAAGGCCGGAAAAGTTGCCGCCATCTTTGAGCGACGGCGGCAACCAGACAACCAGTAAGCAAGTTGTTTGGTTGCCGCCGTCGCTCATAGATGGCGGTAGCTGTCCAGAGTTCAGTGTCATCATTTGTTTGTTGACGGACACGATCCTGGGGAAGCTAGCCCTTAACAGCTCCACTTTAAAGAAAAGGAGGCGACAGATTCGTTTTGTTCTTTTCGTTTTATGTTATTTTTTATGTGTTATTGGTAGAATAATAGGATAGTGCAGTGGACAATTTGTGCAGAAAAAGTGAGTGTCGCTTCTGGCTAAGAAATGGCGTCTGCTATTGCCGTGGTCGAGAACCGTCGTTGGAGGAAAAAACATGCCTCGAACAGTGTCTGAACACTGTTTTTTTAATGGATGTATTAGTAGCGTGACCGCGTCCTAAGAGCTGGCCGCCTAAACATCTCTGACTTTTTACTCGCACATTCTTCAGCCACCTCTTTAAAACATTTTTAGCTTAATACGTTCACAAACCGATTATGGAGTCTCTTCAAACAGACATGAATCCCTTTGACTCGTCCCCTAATTTAGTTGATTTGGTGTAAACATGGAATGCCGAGAAAGTGCATGTTTTTGTATGTCCTGGAGAAACTACAGATCTTCGTTTTCTGTTTGTTGCATGCATGGCACACTGCTTCTGCAAGTGTGGGGGTATCAAACATCAAAAACCACCTTATCGGTTTTTTTTTTTGGTTTTTTTTTTGTGTGGCTCCATATCAAATTAGTCGACAAGCAGTATTGCTCCACGCTACAAAGGAAGCCTCTTTTTGTGTGCCTAGGTCAAAGCCAAATAGAGCCAAAAAAAATGGTGCATGTGAAAAAGTTACAACTTTAAAAAACGTCTGAATTCACTTTGTCTCTTAATAATGTGCAAACTATAGGGAAGAATTAACGAGAGATAAAAATGCTGGTATAAAATGAAGCAGACTGCTAATAATCTGTTGATGCTTGTTCCTCCTTTTTCAGTCTGAAATCGGGTTTGGGAAGATGGAGACATATACAAAGCTGGACAAGCTTGGGGAGGTAGGTTGCTCTTGAACCACTTTTCGTAGTGTGATGAAAACACACCTTGTATGCATCTTGTAAGTGCACGCTGAAGCGATGTTAGTTGCTGATAGGAAAATATTGCTCCAATGTATGTAGCAGACACACATGGTACTATGTGTCACACATATACCATATGTGTTACATATACACCGTGGCTTCAAAAAGAGTAGGTGAATTTAGGAAGTTCCTTTTCTGCTTGAATACTCGTCCAAACAAAGCATCACACGGAGCTGCATTCTCATGCCTGTGCCTTCGATAGCAGTGCAGACGAGTTACCAGCGTATACCGTCGGTTGCAATAAAATAATTGCAAAAATGTTCCACCCTAAGATTCCCCCGAGATAAATGGCATCACCTAGCGACCCAGTGCAACCTTTCTCATCTCGCAGAAGAAAAAAAGCATCCGCCAGCGTCTCTCTTTTTTTTTTTTTTTTTTTTTTAAGATTTGCGTTTACGAAGTTGGGGCTCCATCCTAATGCTCAAGATGTCTCGGCACATTAAGCATTGATCGAAAGATTTTCTCTGTTTTGTGGACGTAAGAATTGGAGAAGTGCTGCCTCCCTCGCAGTTCTTGCTTGGCAACAGACCGTAAGACCGTAGTGATGGCAGTGTTCTGCACCTTCCTGCAAGTGACGCCCGTGTGGTTGCAGGGGACGTATGCCATGGTGTTCAAGGGAAAGAGTCGGCTAACAGACAACCTGGTAGCTCTCAAAGAAATTCGGTTGGAGCACGAGGAAGGAGCACCCTGCACTGCCATAAGAGAAGGTGGGTCGTGCACTCCGCAGAAGGCCTCTCGCCTGGCTGCGAACGGACGGTTCGTGAAATCTAGTGCCGCCAGTTCTTGGGAGGGAGTGTGCACTGGAGAGAAAAGGTACAGAAGCTCTAGTTCTGTCCCTCTCTTGTTTAGGGCTCAAAGGGGTTCTGGTGCCACTTTGAGTCGCACTGTCCAGTGAGAGCTTTGGTGGTTGGTCGGAGATGTCGGATGTGCTGCAATGCTCGAATGGAGCCCGATGCTCGAATGTAGCTCTTAAACAAGTTGCTGTGCAAGTCAAATTCAGGCAACCAACTGGGCTAATCAAACTTCACTACCGAAGCTTGACTTTCGTGCATACAACAAACTTTCATATATAATGTGGTTTTTATACCTAGCTAGATATCATGTCAAATTAAACTTTGCTGTAAAGCATAGCTGTACCACAAGTATTTAATAGGAGATATGACCTGGGGGGGGGGGGGGGGGGGGGGGAATCGACTTTAGAACATTTCACTCATATTCATCAAAATTTTCAGGGTGAATAGAGTCATATTAGGTATGATGACATCTAAAGTTTCGGCCTTATAGCCCGATTCAAGCTCCAGAGAAAAAGCTGACTTCATAGGAAATGTATTAAAGAAAAATATTATGGGCAATCCACAAAACTTTTGTTTTAATCGGAAGAAGAAATCCCATCGCACAAGTTAAGGTAAAAATTTATTATAGAAAATGCAATTCTAGAAAAAAAAAAAATAAAAAAAAAAATTGCAAAAGATGTTTGTGTTTTAAATTATTCAGTTTTCATCATGAAGGAATTACCATAATATCTTGAGAGGTAACCCATTCCCAAAAGATAGCCCATCCTGTTTTGTAGTGTGAGTTTTAATTTTTTAATTGCTGAAGTTGAACTACCTTTTGAATGCCAAAAGTTAGCTCACCCCCCCCCCCCCTCCCCCCCTTTTCAGTTAAAGGGGCACTGAAGCGGTTTTTGGAGAAGCTACTTTTTGGTGCGATGGCGTTAAGGAAGTGTCAGTGAATGAGTATCTTCAGTTTTAGAAGGCAGAACCGCCTATTAATCACGCAGGAATAAAATAAGTGCCGACTCTTTTCTGTACTTGCGAGGACCAATGAAATTATCGTATGTTTGAAAATTTTGGCGGTCTTTGTAAAGTTTGGCTAAAGAAACAATTTTCAGTTCATTTAAATATGTTGTGCATGATAATTTCACAAGACGTAAAATATTTCTAGTTTAGAATACGCGATAGTGCAATTATCGTTTCACAAACAAGGGACTACGTTTTCTCCTTGCCTTCCTCCGCGGGGGGTGAATTTCCCCAGGGATGCGCGGAAGCGCACGTATCTCTGCGCGTTGCAGGCCGGTCGTGCCGGTCCCGGGCCGGCCGGCTCCTTCTATCCGCAAACGTGGCGTCGGTGGTGATCATCGGCGTGGACCGCGTGGGGAAAGCTCATCGTTCCGCGTAAAAGCGCTATCCTTGACTGTGAATTTTCGTAGTGTGTCGCTATGATTTCATTTCATTTCATTTCATTTCATTTATTATACCTTAAAGGCCCCTGGGGGCATTACATAAGGGGGGTAACATAAAACACAATATAGCACTTCAAGGGTTGAAATCAAATGTAGGGACAAATAGGTTGAAAGAACATCTGTTATTTTATAGTGCAATATCTTCATTATACAATCATATGCTTAGTGAGTTCTGCTAAAAACAAGGTATGATCTGTAATTGTTACAATGGACTCGGGTAGCGCATTCCAATCCCGCATACACAAAAAAAGGGGAGAGTTTTTTAAAATGTTGGTTCTGGCAAAGGGCATTTCTATCTTCTGGCAATGATCACGGCGTGGGGAGACATGACTGGCTGAAGAGAAGAATTCATGGTCAGTCCAGGGCTTGTAAAACAGGTTATGAAAAAAGGATAATCTATCTACGGTGCGTCTAGTATTAAGGAGAGGTAGTGATAAAGAAGCCTTAAGGGCAGAGATGCTCGTGGGTGAGTAGTCAGCAAGAATGAATCTAGTTGCGCGGTTTTGGATTGATTCTAACATGTCGGATAGGTAAGTCTGATGGGGGTTCCAAATGGTAGAAGCGTATTCCATCTTGGATCTAACAAGGGTGCAGTACGACAGCTGTTTGATTTTCGGTGAAGCTTGACTAAGATGGCGTCTTAGAAAACCTAAAGTTTTATTAGCACTGGAAGTTATGTGTTCAATATGAGTTCTCCATGAAAGGTCAGAGCTTAAGTGCACGCCAAGGTATTTAAAAGATGAAACCTTTTCAATGGGCTGGGATGCAAGTTGATAGGTGTAATCTACTGGATTACGGGATTTAGAAAAAGATACACATTTACATTTATTATGATTGATGGACATAAGCCACTCGGCACACCAGGTTTCAATTAGGGATAGGTCTTCTTGTAATGTTAGGCAATCATCTTCACTGGAAATAGCGTGATAAACAAGATCGTCAGCAAACAGACGAACACAGCTTCTCAGGCGATAACCAATATCATTTATATAAATAAGGAAGAGCAATGGGCCCAGTACAGTACCCTGTGGTACGCCTGAAATAACTGGTAAGGATTGTGAAGATGTTTCACCTAGACATACGGATTGGGTTCTAGTCGTGAGAACATTTTTTATCCAATTAACTACAGTTGCATTAATTTTTAATTTTTGTAATTTTACTATAAGTCTGTAGTGTGGCACACGGTCGAAAGCTTTCGAAAAGTCTATAAAGAGAGCGTCTGTCTGTTTTCGTAAGTTAAGATTACTGTGAGTATCGGTTACTAACTCGAAAAGTTGTGTTGTGCATGATCGATTCCTACGAAATCCATGCTGGTTAGAAAATAATACATTATTGATATCAAGAAACTGCATTATGGCTGTAAAAATAATATGTTCAGGGAGCTTACTACATACACTTGTTAAAGAAATAGGCCTGGAATTGCTCAGATCGTCAGATGACCCAGACTTAAAAATTGGAATGACGTCTGCATGTCTCCAGTCATTGGGAATCATACCAGTAATAAGTGATTGGTTGAAAATTTTACCCAGGTACAGGGACGAGATGTGCTTAGTAATTTTTAAAATCTTACTGTTTATCCCGTCGCGACCAGGAGCAGAGCTGACTGGAAGTTGCTCTATTAATTTTGATATTCCTTCAGAAGAAATAGTTATTGACCCCATTTCGCCAAGTGCGTCCTGAGAAGCTAATTGTGGCATGGGGAACGTTTCGCGAGTGAAGACGCTACTGAAGTATTCATTAAATCTGTCACATACATCACTTTCAGTCAGCTGCTTTCCAGTCGGATCTGAGATGATCGGACTTTTCTTTGAAGAAGGATTGATAATTTTCCAGAATCTCCGTGGATTTAAGATAAGAATGTTATACAGGTCGTTCTCAAAAAAATTACGTTTCGCCATTCTTATTTCACGTTTACAAGTTTTAGCAAATTCACGGAAGCGAGACCACGAGGCGTCATCATTACCTTTTCTTTTTGCCGACTGGAATAGCCTCTTTTTCTTCCTTAGCATTCTCTTCGTATTAAGAGTGAACCATGGCGAACTGGGGTTAGAGATTACCCGACACACTGGAACGTATCGAGAAATGAGGTTGTGAATAAGTTCTTTGAATATGCACCAGTTTTCTTCCACCGACCTTGTATTAAAGTGATTCTCAAAGTTTGGGAATGAATCCAATAACTCGGCGTTAATACTCACAGTGTTGGCTTTAGCGTAATTACGAATTGTTTTCTTCGACGTTGCAGGAGCGGGAACGTCAATGGATAGGTTAACAAACATAAATTGTTAACATCGCTTATGTATTCAGGGTGGGTAGTAAAAAATAAATCCAGGGTCGCGTCACCCCTGGTTGGTTCTTTAATAATTTGGTGGAAACCAAAACTATTCATAATATCAAGAAATTCACGACTTTCTTTCTGATTTTTACACGAGGGGTTGACGCAATCTGAAACCCAATCAATATCAGGAAAATTAAAATCCCCTGCCAGAATAATGACACCATTTGAGTACTCAGAAAAGACCTTCTCAAGGCAGTCGTTTAATCTAGCCACAAATGAACAATCAAAATTCGGGGGTCGATAACACACACCTATAAGAAAATTCGAGTGCGTCATTTTCAGTTTAATCCAGATAATCTCGATGCTCGTTTCAATATCAACTACAGATGATAATAAGTGGTCACTAACAGCAATCGGGACGCCACCGCCTTTGTGAACCAATCTATCCTTGCGAAAGATAGAAAAACTGGAATTCAGGAGTTCACCGTCGGATATGTCAGGTGACAGCCATGTTTCCGTGCCGAGGATGACTTGACTATTGCACATTTCGGCATTATCTAGTAAGATATCTTGTTTTTTTAACACGCTACGAAAATTTGTAAACAGGAAAGAAAGTCTGGGTGCAACGCGCTTAGGGCGTGTGTTGCTGTGTGATAGCAGTCAATCGGCGCGTACTTCATTAGATGAAGTACGCGCCGATTGACTGCTATCACACAGCAACACACGCCCCAACATAACCCAGCACGTACTAGAAGGGAAGATCCACCTACGCGTTCGGCGATGTCGTGGCGGCACTCTCAAGACAGCAGAAACGCCGGTGCCGTCGTGTTTGTTTACTTCGACTACAGTGGTGCTTTCTAAGCATTTGTGTCCTCGAACATCGCCCGGATTTCTTATTTGGCGCATTTCATGCGTGTGCTCAAGTTCAAGGTATTACTGGCGCATACCGTATAAAGGATGCAAATTTTTACGCGTTTTCATCACCGGAGAAAAGTGATTAGTGTTAGCAATCGTGAACGCTTGCCACGTCTATCTGATCACGAAATCATATTTCTACGTTTCTATATCGCTGCTAAGATTACATTGTCTTTTATAATCGTAGAAAAGGCATGTGGCGATATTTGTACTATTGCAATGTCGTGTATTAGAGTCGTGATCGTCCAAGACTGCGGACTGCATCTTTTTAGAGCGCAGCTCTTAGGCGCCCGTTTCCGGCTTGAGCGGCGTCGCCGTTGTTGTCGGCGTAACCAAGGTCACCTCAAGGTCACGTGACCCCCAAGGTGACCCCCTGAAGGTGACGTGACCCCTCCCAAGGTCACCTCAAGGCCACGTGACCCCCACATGACACCCCAAGGTCATGTGACACCCCAAGGTCATGTGACTCCCCAAGGTCACGTGACTCCCCAAGGTCACTTGACACCCCAAGGTCACGTGACCCCCCAGGTCATGCCTCCCCGAGGTCACGTGACCCCCGGAGCATATTAAAAAATCAGGGGAGGAGGAGGAGAAGGAGGAGGGGTCTACCCTCCCCTCAGTACCCTTCCCTCCTCCTCCTCAAGAGCTGCGCTCCAATTCGGCATTACAGGGAGTTGTAAACGGCTTTCACTTTCTATTTTCTTTTTTTCATCTACTGTACCCTGCAAGCCTATCAAGAAAAAATAATAATAAAGCTTTAGACTGTAGAAAGCTGTCTGTTTATATTCTGTTACGGCATTGAGTAGCAGTGTGTCCCCTTTTTAGAGGGGCCGCTGAAACAGCTGACGGCGGCGTATAGAAGCGGTCACCGTGCTGACGGCCGTCACCGGTCGTTCCGATTGCAACGGACGCAGTCGTAGGTACGCGCTCATTGCACATGTCTGAACCAGCCTTCCCCCCCGTCCTCCCGAGGCGAAAGTCAACGTGGCGACATCGTTTGACATCACGTACCAGAGGTAACGCTGCGATGTCAAACGTTGGTTTGGTTACGACTTGCCCCAAACGCAAATCGAAGAACGCCCGAGAAGGTCCGAGTTTCGCCGTCCTCGGAAGCCGAACACGACTCCGAAGCGCTGCTATCGTCCACATCGCATGTCGGAGTGGCGTCATAGGAAATCGTCCCCAGGTCGGCTGTCCGCCGAAGAATTTCAACCTCTAACGGCGTCAGGTCCTCGAGCGTAGAGAACTCTGTCATGGTCGAAGCTCGAATGACAAAGAAGTTTGGCCGATGCGGCTACCTCGGTATCACTGCGCGACGGAACGTCGTCCAACGCCATTGGCCCGAGATCCTTTTGATAAGCGTGCGAGAACCAATGAGACTGGTTTCGTTTTCGCATGGATCCGAGGTTTGGCGGCCTTCAATCACATTTCTATTAAAGAAATAATCACCGTATGACTATACTTTTTGGTTTTTAGGGATACTTAGGGCGTCTAAATTCAGCTGTCATCATCAAAACACGAACTCAAAAACCACTTGAGTGCCCCTTTAATGTGCTCTCTGTTATAGGTTATTACGATAGCTTTTTCACATTATGAGTGCCTTAATTGTTCCTCAGGAAATTTCAGCCTGAGCCACCACTGAACGAAGTCTTTACACTTTTGAAACAAAAATGATAAATTTCCTGCCAGAAAGTGAAACTGAGAAAAATGCATTTGAAGTTTCAACTTTAGGTTTCTCTGTGTTGTGAGTTCCAGGCGCACAAGATTTATCTAGAGCATAGGTGGCACCTTTCTCTTTGAGACCTTGTTGTTCCCCTGGTTACCAGCTTGTGTCAATTGTAGGCAGTCTACCGTATAATCGCGTGTAAGGGCTGCACCCCCATATTTAAGACAAAATATTGCAAAAAAAAAAAAAAAATTAGAGAAATTATTCACGTATGCGCCGCACCGCCTTGTTTTCGAGGCGCGCCGACTGTAATGCATGAAAGTTTCTATGAATATATATCGGCGCTAGCCACCGCCCGAGCACCTAGCGGCACGTCTCCGCATCCCCGATATTTGCTCTTCACTCATCCGTATCACCGTATGGTACAATGGCTACCGACCTCGATCGTGGTCGGCCGCACCAGGGATGCGTTTATGTTGCGGCCGGAAGACATTGAGAAAAGGTAAAGGATATGCCAGCTTCCGTGGCAAGCGCAGAGGAATGGGGATTCAACGGGCTCGGTTGGCGCGTGCACTCAGGTTTCTGAACGCCACTGTACGCTCTGGGGAGGTTTTCGTGCACTCAGGTTTCTGTACGCCACTGTACGCTCTGGGGAGGTTTTCGTGCACTCAGGTTTCTGAATGCCACTGTACGCTCTGGGGAGGTTTTCTTTTGTTCTTCGATTCGTGTCAAAGCGTCGTAATATGTCTGCCTTTTCGCGCAATCGGAGCTATGGGCAAGTACCACTCCAACAGTCATACGGGATTCAAGTCGAAAGTTGCCGCGCATGCTATCAAGTAGAAAAAAAAAAAAAAAGATGCGTATTGCGCAGTATGTAAACTAATTAAATCCGACTGACGATTCAATCCGGATTCTGGAGTGAAGGCGTTTTCGATCAGTGCAGCCGAGCGCGCTCATGTACGTTCATTTCAAAATGTGGATACAGATTTTTTTCTTTTTTATCCGTGTATGGGCCGCACCTTGAAAGTTTTCCCTCAAATCGGGAAAAAATAGTGCGGCCCTTACACAAGTTTATACAGTAACTTTGGTAGCCGGCATTTCTCGACATTTCTCGACAGATAAACTGTCGAGAACTGAGAGGCAAATGATACTAAAGAAGATGGGCGAAGTGGCACTATGATCTGAATTGGAAGATAAGCAGGACCACTATTAAGCCCTGTTTTGGGTCTCAGCCAAGAAGATTGTTCATACCATGTTTTTTTTTTTTTTTTTATATATTTTTGGTTTCTGTGTATGGGGTTCTCCTGGCCATTGATACCTGTAAACTTGGAAGAGTTTTACAAGGTAAATCTATGGTAAATGACCTCACTTCCAACAAAGTTGATATGTTCTGGGTATGTTAAACAAGCACGGAGCAACCCTAATTCTAAAAATGGGAAAATTTGCTACTTGCTGATTTATGGGGCTGCCAGCATGCCAATCATAATTACTTGCGAGATCAATCATGCGTGTTCATAAATGAAAGTTCCTGAAACCAGGCTTTGGAAGTTAATGAACACAAATAAAACCTTTTTCAAAAAAGTTTTTTTTAATTGAAATATAAAGGCCATATCCCCCGCTAAACCAGTTGACCTGCACTTTTGAGTCGGATGTTTTTTGTAATTAAGTGTGATGTAGAGAAACTTTGTTTAAACTTCCTAGGTATAGTTCGTGTTTGAGTTGTTTCGGGACCTATCTCAATATTCCTAATATTTCTCGCATTGTTTTCTTCCGCAGTATCATTGTTAAAGGACCTCAGGCACAACAACATAGTGACTCTGCACGACATAGTTCACACGGAGAAATCTCTCACCTTGGTGTTTGAGTATCTGGTGAGTTCCGAGTCGTTGTCCCATTTCCTCCGAAGGCTATGCCCATCATTGACGCAAAGAGGCTCCTAAAACTACAACTCACTGGAAGTGCGATCCTTTCAAATTTGAGACCTTCCTGTTTCTTATTGAGACACAGCCCTAAAGCATAATAAGGCACCATGGCATTCCCCTCTCGGATCCGACGAATACTGTGTGTACTGTTTCGGAACGCATTCTGGGGAAACGTTTGCTTCGGACGAGCTCTGGATTTACAGTCAGTCTGCTATTTGGGAAAACATTGACTTCAAATAAATTTTCCTCGGCTCGTGAGCCTTGGCGAGCGAACCGCATATTTTAATTTGAAATCTGGGAACTCAATATTTTTCGTGCGTCTGCATGATTCGAGGCAGTAATCATTGAAAGAGCGTTGTCCAAGCAGTGCCTAGGGCTGTTTGAGTGAAGCCAGGGAGTCTGGGAATGAGGTGCTTACAACTTTCCCTCTTTATTTGCTCAGGAAAAGGACCTCAAGCAGTATATGGACGACTGTGGAAACTTCCTTTCCATGAACAACGTGAAGGTATGTGCATGCCCATTGTCTTTAGGATAAAAGACACTGCCTGTGCAAGGCAAGAAAACAACATTTTTTTTTAAGCTAACATTTTGGTTGTGTATGTTGGCAATTGAGGAAGAGGAACTGATGTTTGTGAAAAGGCTAGGGATCGATCGGGGGCAAACCGAGTTTAGAAATGCTGCTGCTCCACCGATTCACCTAACTTGCGGATGGGGACGATGAAGAGTCTTAAAAGGACACTGAAAAGAAAAAAAAAAGTTTTATTTTCAAACAGTCTGGTTGGGACGCGCAAAACAAAAAATGAACTTTATTGTTGGCGCTAGATTTATTTCAAAATATGCGTGCAAAGTCCATGACGTCACGGAATGGTCGTATCCTCTTTCCACCTCAACGAGATGGTCATTCACTCTCTCCGCTTCAACGTGATGGCCAAGACGATCCACCTCTCCTCTACTCGGCCAAATTGTCAAGAGAGAAAACAAGTGGAAAGGAGGGGACTACCAACTGAATTGCGCCTCGTGCCGTCAATATTGCTTTAATTTTTCGCTTAAAATTTATATTTTTGATTTCCGTGTCCCAATTAAACTGTTCAAGAAACTTTTTTTCTTTCTTTTTAGTGGCCCTTTAAAGATTCGTGCACTGTGTGGGAAACCTGAAGAGTAAAAAAAAAAAACAAATTTGATGACGTTATGTATTGTGATAAGTTTGGGGTGTAGATTTGACGAGATGATTAGTGGGCTTATTAACCTAAAATATGACAATTGAGGTTTAAAATCTGTTGCCTGACCCAGTTTCGGTATCCTGTCAAAAAAAAACAAAAACAACAACTAAATTTAGAAGAAAAAAGATCGCCTTCACTTTATTTAGTGGTGAATTTGACCTCTATTTTGCGACTGAAAATAAATTTTTTTTTTTTTTCGCTTGAGAAATGCATTTATTGATAACCAATCGCTCAAAATTTCTCTCGCTTTCTTTTCCTCGGTAATAAGCAATCTAAGGCACTTCTTTATTTAATAAATAAAAAATAATAAATCCCCGAAAAACATAATTAGTACGGCCATTGAAAGCCCAAAAACGCATTCATTGGAAGAAAATGAATGCTTAGTCGCGCCGACGGTACCAATTCAAGTGGCTCCAAGCGTTTCCGATGTCACATTTCTTCGTTCTGCTCCTCTAATTTTGGCGTGACCCTGTCTTCCAAAAAAAAAAAAAATATGTGGCTTTGCAGCCAGAAGTTTGTGGGGTTGCATCATAAAGTCACATTATAGTGTTGTGCACAAAATAATTAATTTTTTCGTGAGAGTACAGCCTTCTTCGCGTGAAAAGTCTTTGGGTTGCGATTAGGGCCGAGTGTCAATTTAAAATTTGAACCGCCAATTAATAGCTGCCTTTAATCAATTAATTGATCTGTTGCATTAACCTTCATGCATGATATCTAAAGAAAGTATCAAAACTACGGATATTTTTTCTACTATTTCTTGCCATCACCAATGGCAGAATGTACAGCCTCACTTGAAACTTGATATCGTGCCGCCTTCAAAATAAAAGAATGTTGACGAACGATATTAGAAATTAGATGCTTTTACGCTCTTATTCAAAACTTTGTTCAGTCTGAATGACAATTATAGGGAATGCTAAGGTGCTTCACTGTGAAATACTACAGTGGAGACCGCTAAAATGAATAAACTTGCCTCGAGTAGTAAAGCAGGCATTGTTACTTTCTCCTCCAAATTCCTAACTTAAAACCGAACTGAATTAACCTGTGAAAAAAATTAACCAAGTTTAAAGAGTCCATTGGCTTAATCGAAATGTCAATCAATCAATAAATGTTAAATTTTTTGTGGACAATGTTGCTGTAATAATTGTTGTCAATTTTTTGTCAGAGTCAGGCGTTACGGCGGTTGTTACAGCCAGGCACTACAGCCTGCAGTAACAGCCAAACGTTGCAGAACTCCATGAAAATCGGCCAATAAAACACATTCGGTGTTGATATTTATTTTTGTGAGGAGGTGGTGAGAAGAATTGTTGGCAGTCCTTCTTTGAGGCGTCGTAATGTAACGTTTTGTGCAAAATATGTGTTTTGGGGGATGGAGAAGAATTGCCTTCTCTGTAGCTTGCCCTCCCCTCTTCCCCGCAGTGCTTCCTGTTCCAGCTGCTGCGGGGGCTGGCCTACTGCCACGGGCGGCGCATCCTGCACCGGGACCTGAAGCCCCAGAACCTGCTGATCAACGAGCGGGGGGAGCTCAAGCTGGCCGACTTTGGCCTGGCTCGGGCCAAGTCGGTGCCCATCAAGACCTTCTCCAACGAGGTGGTCACCCTCTGGTACCGGCCCCCCGACGTGCTGCTCGGCTCCACCGACTACTCCACCTCCATCGACATGTGGTGGGCACCCTTTACTCCTCCAGGGGAAGCCCATTTAGCATCTAGATGGCAAGGCTGGGGTTCTTTGTCACCCGCCAGGGCCCAGTGTGGGACGGAGAGTGTACACGAGCACTGCTTGAGCATTCAGCTGGGGACTTGCGTTCGTGCGGTGGTAGCCTGGGTTTTAGCGGAGCGCCGATACAGCGGTGTTTGTGTCCAGCACGTGCCCCACACTGGCCTCGGGTAGCTGACCTGGCTAATTCGGCGTTACCGCCTCGCTATTTAGGAGGCATCGGTCGACCACACGGCTCTCCCAGTTTTTTTTTTTTTTGGCTACTCCTCCCATTCGTTTTTTGTTGCATGCTTTGCGGTGCTTGCAATTGATGCCCCTCAAAGTTTAGTGGCTTCCGGTGGCATTCCAGTCTTCGGCAACCATCAGAAGCTGGGACATTTATGATTGGGTTCATCTTCAAATGTCTCTGGTACCGTTTCAGAATGGTGTCTCTCGGTTGGAACTGCAACGGGGCGCATATCGTACGATAGAATCTATTTAAGGGAAGGTGACTGAGTTACTCAATAATATGCTGACCGATCCCCAATTTCACGTTGATTTGGTCTCAACGCAAATGCTACATCCTGCAGCTCTCTGCAACATTTCTCTCTTTCTCTTTTTCTAAATCTCGCCTTGCTGCTCCCTTACTAAATCCCGAATAATGAAATCGGCAGAACCTCGTTGATACATTCTTGGTTCCTACGTTTTCTGGCTGTTCATGTACTCCAGTGCCGCTGAACTCCAATGGGGATGTGTGTATCAATTTCTCGTCCGTTGCGCCCGCCTTCCCAGTTCATGCGTCGAAAAACTGCCACCAAATGTGGCCGACACCATACGTTGGGTCGTCGCCACCCGCTTCCTCTCGCTTCGCCCCTCCCCTTTTTCATCTCTTTGCTCGTCTGAGCTGTGCTTTTTGCATTCTTGCTCGGGTGGGCATGACCTTGAACTAGGCTCAAAAAAGATTCAGTTTCACAATCTGTCATTTATCTCGCCATCTGCCAGTTTAGTTTCGCGTGGAATTCGAAGCTTGTAATCGTATGCCTGAAACTTCACCGTTTTGCCCCGGCGCGCTAGGAGCAGCAGTCGACGAGGGGGACCACTTGCATTAGCTCGACAGGCTCAGACAGTTTGCTCAGTCGTAGAAGTCGACATTCCTTGATTATGATTAGATATCAATGAATGTCTATGGTGGATTCTTTAAACCTGGTTTATATATTATAGATGTCTATAGATACATCCCTGGTTTCAAAATAATTTGATGTTCATTACCAGCCCTTTGCAGTTAGAAATGTCAACCAACAGGCCTGTTGCGAAACAAGAAGCGCCGTCCACGACAACGAAAGGAATGCCGGGAACGGCCTTTACCGAACCGGTTGTATCGGACGACGGAGGCAATGGAGGATACACAGGCTAGCAAGCGAGGGCAGCATCTGCCACTAGGTAGATGCTGCGGTGTAAGGATTGGTGTACGGGGTGTCGTGTGCGGCCTTTTAGGATTTTTGCAAAAGGTCTATTCTGCTGTCCTTTCAGTTAGAAACTACCATATTTTTGTGCGTATTACCTGCCCTTGCATATGACCCATACCCCCAAGTTACTACCCAGAAAAAACAAAAAGAAAACAAGCCTTGCACATTATTTGCACTAACTCCGCAAAGCAGTCTCCAGATCTCGCTAGAAACCCAATCTTTATTTTGAATACACTCGTCACTGCAGTGACCACAGCTATCGTCTGGGGCACCTTCATTGACGCAGACAGCGTCGTCATCTGTGCCGTCAAGGCGATTGCTGATGCAGCACTTTTTGAAACTGTTTCGCTCCACCTCGTCTGGAAAGGGCACGCCGGTCACTCCGGATCTCTTTCATTAGGAGTGACCGTGACCTCTTCCCTGCTCGATGAACTTCACGAGCGCTTTTTCAAGCTCTGGGTATGCACCAGCCTTCGGACCGCAAAATGATCTTCAGTCGTGGCTTGCAGTTTGCGGGCTCTCCTTCTTCCTCCCTTCTCGCAAGCACAACTCGCCAATGTCGTAGTGGTCATAGTTTTGGCACAGTTTCCGATCTCTTCAACAACGGATCTGACGACATCTAGAGCGGAGCGGCGTTCTACAGCTCGGCTCAGCTCAGCTGCGCAGCCCGCAAAAACAATGTAAAGATAGCTACCAGGGAAAAGAAGGGGGGGGGGGGGGGGGGGGAGAAGAAAGTCCCTAGGAGAGACCAAAGAAGACAGATTCTAGAGAAGTTATCCCTACGACTTTACTCGCATTGCCATGAAGCCGCACTGCCCACCAAAAATTGTGTATAACCGACACCCCTCCTTCGATTTTGTATAAATTTTGATGCATGTAATAAGCAAAAAATTACAGTATTTTATTACACGGTATACTATGATAAGCGATAGAGAGAGAAAGAGCTATTCTTACTTGTGTGCTGTGTCCGTCAGTACATCAAAAATGCTTTGAACTCTGATGCTGAAACATTGCACAGTTACTTCCATCACTTCGTGCATTAAAAGAATGAGGAGTACTAGTCTAGTTCAGAACGGGTATTCAATGAGGCTGCCTGTGCTCCTGAATTGTTGACACCGAATGGAAAAGTATGATAATGGGGAGGAAAAAGTTTGCATTGGAGCATCTTCTTAACTGCCATTGCCCGCGGTATCTTCATCCTCATTTGTGAGGTTGCTGCAGTCGGAAGTCCCTTGTTCGTCTCCCGAGGGACAAATATAATTCTCTTTTTCATGGCTAGTTTGTGCAAAGACTTTCTACAAGAGGTGTGCAGTGAGAATGAAGCGACATTTTCCCGTGCCACGCATGGGGGTAGAACCATGAGCACATGCGACGGTGCTTGTGCATTGCATTACTCCATCTGAAACGCTAAACAGCAGCTTGAATAAAGTCTGCACACTCTCCAAAAGACGGTGCCGCAAGCACGCGAGCGGATTGTTGGGCAACGCCCAAAACCTGACCTTGAAATAAAAATAAAATAAACCTAGAAAAAAAACCATTCACCACGTCCATTTCGGCCTCTTTGGAATGGCGAGGCATAGGGGCAGACATCCGTAGACCGGGGGGCCCAGATTGCTGGCGAGCCTTTAATGAAAACAAAGAAGCAGGATTTCATCACTCGCAAGGTCGGTACCTAGTCTCTTTAGCTTTATTTTCCTAGAAAGCATGGACGTCGAATGTTGTATAAAATGGAATGGAGGTCAACAAGCAATCGCAAAACTTCTTTGCCATGCTCCCATCCCCTCTGACCAGAACTGTATTCCCACAATGTTGATCCAGGTCCCATTCACGACTCCAGAGGGTTAACGCGAAATGCGGAAAAGTGTGAATTTTGGATTTGCACTTCCGTATTTTCAACTGAAGTATCACTGCATCTCTTGCAACCACGTCCTACGGCTTAACCGGGGCATCCTCCGTGCACAGGGGCGTGGGCTGCATCTTCTACGAGATGGCGAGCGGGCGCCCCCTGTTTCCGGGCTCGACGGTGGAGGACGAGCTGCACCTGATCTTCCGCAGCCTGGGCACCCCGACGGAGGCCACCTGGCCGGGCATTGAATCCCGGGCGGAGTTCGTGGCCTACCACTTCCCCCGCTACGCCCCGGAGCCCCTGGGTTCCAGGGTGCCCCGCATCGGCTCCTCCGGGGCCGCCCTGCTGCTCGACTTCCTCAAGGTGGGTCGGCTCGCCATACTCCCTTTCACGATAGCTTGGCGAACTGGGGAGGCTAGAGCCCCTGCAAAGCAATGAGAGCGTCGGAGGGAGGCACGTGTCACCACGTCACGGGAGCGTTTCTGTCGTTGCATCAAATGCGAGGCCCAAACCAACAGGCTGTTGTCTGCTGCGAAATTAACCAACTTTGGATGAACGTTCACCGCCGCAACACTGCCGTCCGCTAGAGTAGCGAGCTCTGAGGGAACAGTTCGCGAGACAACCTTACGCTCAATTTCCCAGCGAATTTGTGGCGGATGCTGATGCCAGGGCGACGTTTTGAGCGGAAGCGGTCGATTACATGGCGGCAATCGTTCAAACACCGTTGAAAAGCCACGTTGTTCTTGGTAAAGGGTTGATCCGAATTGAGTATCCTTGAAAAGTAACTTGTCTTCGCCTTTCTCCCGTGTCGTATCAATAGAGATGCAATCGTGCAAGTTGAATTGATGTTAAAAGAAAAGCTTAGAACTACCTTTTTTCGTGGGCGACGCTGTTGCTGTGGCAGTAACGGGGCTTCCGTGGCCTGCACCACGGAGTAAGTCACATGCTTTTTGCCTCTTCCTCGCAACTCGTGTCGTGAGCGCGGCATGTAAACCGTGCGACACCGATCGAGTGGTTGGATTTACTTCGCAATCTAGTCACGCTAGCGCCGATGCATAGTTACCTACGGGACGAGAACGAAAGGGGGGTCATTCAGTCGTCCCGCCTCTAGCGCAAGCCTCCTTCCTCCGACAATACCTTGGCGTCCCACCATTCTCGTCTTGTCTCGTCGGTGGCGGTGGATGACCGGGCCCGCTTCTTTCCTTTTCAAACACCAAATGGCTCGCAAGAATGCTTTTTCGCTGTGGCTTAAAAAAGGCCTAAATTCTTCTGAGCCATTGGAATATTTCGGTTTTTATTTACAACTTTTGACAGAGCTGATCGAAGCAGCTGCTTCTTTCGCTATTTTCACCCTAAACAAATCCGCTACCTAGCCTCGCTTTATAGAATAAAGTATGGTGTCTTAGCTCGCGAGGCTAAATTTTGCGATTTATATAAAGGGCGTGAAATTTGTCTGTCTCGCGCAGTGGATTGTGCCACGTCCCTAGCGCTGCCTCTTGCTTTTTGCGACGGCATTGTTTCATGAAAGGAAACAAATGTCTACGAACGTCGGTCGAGCCGTGAGCTCCGAACCAATCTGATGCGTTCCTCCTCTTCGGCAGGCCCGCTCCGACTCACGCGACGCTACAATCGTGTCAGCACTACCATTAGATAACTGCGACGATTTGCGCCATAGAAAACATATTGGTGACTCTAGGGGCCGCTGCTCGGAAGAGTCGAAAAATAATTTTAGCGTCGAGAAATATGCATGCAGGATTAGAGATAGAGAATTTTAAGAGGACCAGCAGAGATAAGCCAGATAGAGAAGTTGAGTGCATACCAGTGCCAAAGACGACAAGATTGGCGAGGGACGCTTTCGGTATCGCGGCGTGCCATCGTGTCATCTGGCCGAAAACAGAGGTTTAAGCGAAGCTGTTATATGCTAGGGTCTGGTAAAAAATGCATCCTCACATGTCGACCGAGAACTCTCCATTGGTAATGGCAAGTATGAAAAAATAACAAAAAGATGGGATAGCCAGTGCGAGTCAGCCTTCTTTGGCATTCTTAGATTGTGAAGTCCTGATCCCTTGGTATCATCTATCTCTAGGCATCGTCCTCGAGGTTGCCCTAGAAGTTGTTCTTGAGGTCATCCGAGAGGTCGTCCTAGGCGTCGTCCTTTATGCGTCGTCCTAGAAGTCACCCTTGAGGTCATCCTAGACGTCCTTGAGATCGTCCTCTAGGCGTCATCCTCGAGGTCATCCTAGAATTCGTCCTCAAGTTTGTTCTAGATGTCGTCCTTGAAGTCGTCCTCGAGGTCGTCCTAGACGTCGTCCTTGAGGTCGTCCTAGAAGTCATCATCAAGGTCGTCCTAGACACATCGTCTTCTAGGCATTGTCCTAGACGTCGTAGAGATAACAGCTTCGCTGGTCCTCCATCTTCACGTAAAGTGGAAGGGCTCTACAATTTTTTTCAACTCGCATACAGTACAGACCACTTACAACGTAACCGCTTATAGTGCAGGACCGGGTATAACGTGGCTTTTTTAAACCACCGGTTCACCTCCCGTAGAACTCCATGTAATTACGTACCGCTTAAAATGCAGGCGTGCGAAGGGAAATACCGGTTATAGTGCGGTTTCTGGAGCAGCGCGCCGACCGACCGGCGCAGCGAGCACGCTTCCCTGTGCGACACCAGATAATGGCGCTAGCCGCAAGCGGCACTCGCGGGAACAAGGATGGCAAGGAGGTTGCTCGAAGAAGCGGGGAGAAGTGAAGAGAGAGGCTTCAGTTGCCGTAGCGACGGAGGGACGCACGCACGTGTCGTTCACGGCACAAGGCGTTGGCGAGCCCAACTGGCCCAACGTCCAACCAGCCTCTCGCGCGCGTTGCATGCCGGTGGCGGCCGGCTTTTTCTATCCGCAAACATGGCATCGGTGGTGATCGTCAACGTCGACGGCATAGTGGAAGCTCATCGTTCCGCGTTAAAGCACTATCCTTGACTGAATTTTCGTTGTGTGTCGCTATGATAACCCAGCACATACTAGAAGGGAAGATGCACCTACTCGTGCGGCGATGTTGTGGCGGCACTCTCAAGACGGCAAAAACGCCCGTGTCGTCGTGTTTGTTTACTTCGACTACAGTGGTGGTTACTAGGCATTTGTGTTTTCAAACATCGCCCGGATTTCTTATTTGGAGCATTTCATGCATGCATTTTATGCCTTTTTTGGAGCATTTCATTCGCGTATTTCATGCCTTTTTTGGAGCATTTCATGCGCGTACCGTATAAAGGATGCAAATTTTCACGCGTTTTCATCGCCGGAGAAAAGTGATTGGGGTTAGCAATCCTGAACGCTCGCAACGTCCGTCCGCAACCCGCGACGCCGTTAAAAGGCTGCGCGAGGCAAAAGTCACTCATTTCTTTCAAAATGTGTGACACACTTGAGAGAGAAGTGTACTAGTCTGGTGAAATAAAGACTTTCTTTAAACTAAGCTTTATTTTTCATCTAACATAAAATAAATTGTTTTACAAAGGTAAGTTGTCTCGTGGTATGCATTTTGGCCTGAAAAATTGATGTTTTGGTTATAGCGCGGTACTGCTTATAGTGCGGATTTTCGCGACTCCCGCGACACACGTTATATGCAGTCTACACTGTAGTATTTTGGTTTATTCTGGTGAACACTTGACTTCTATGATGCTGCAGAAGAGGGATTGTTTTTAAATCTTCTCGAAACGGTTCCGTGACCCTGGCACGTCTGCCGAGATACCCATTCTCTCTGCAATGACCGTTGCTGTTTTTTTCGTGCAGTTTGAGCCCAGGGCGAGGGTGTCGGCGGCAGAGGCGATGAGGCACTCGTACTTCGACAGCCTGGGGCCAAATGTGCACAAGCTTCCAGACAGTGAGTGCCGACTTCACATATCTCCCTTGCTTCCCTCAATACTAAGGGCCTAGTCTCAGGGGCCCCTTCTTGACCGAAGATGTAGTGCCGAGTCTGTCGCGCAGAGGCCACCGGCCCGAGTCTGTGGTTACTAATCGCTTCGGTTGTGGAACTTTTCGTGGATGCGGAGAGCGTTTGCAATCGGGTCTGAATTTTTGTAGCGATTGCGCCGTGCATTTGGCACAGGTCTTCTCCTAGCCGTAAGTTTCAGACGAAAAGCACGCATCATTAGCTCTGTGCCTTATAATGCGGGTAAATATGTAGATTGCCTTGTCTGCGACTCGATGAATTTAGGCCAGGGGTCGGCAACCTGTGGGGGCCCTGGCACAACACCGCAAACCCCCCCACCCCCCTGACTTAACGATCACACGGCAGTTTTGATCCCAAATGGGTTTAGACAGGAACAAGGAGCACTTCAAGTTGATATTGTCTGCTACTTGGGCAGAGATGACTTCACTTCCCTTTTGCCTTTTCCTTGCCTGCCTCCATTCACCAACCCCCCCCCCCCCACCCACCCCCCTTCGCGACTTGCTGTGCGACCCCCTGTGTTGACCTCGTGGCGACTCGGCCCGCCGCTGCAAAAGGTTGCCGACCCCTGATCTAGGTGAATCTACTGTGAATGCGTCGTCTGTGCAGAGACGCTTCATTTTGCAACCTTTGTGGGCGAGGATTTTAAACGTGTGTTGGATTTCCATAGCAACGCATAGAGAACATGTTCCTTAACAAAACGAGCAATTTTTTTTTAAACATAAAAGTTCAAATAACAGTTTTGTGATTTTTGAAAATAGTTTGGAATTGGCACTTCAAGGAACAAAGGGGGTAGCCGATGATGATGATACCATCTAATGCGGAGTGTGCGCCCCCCTGAGGCAACACGCAAAGAAGCCCCCCTGTGCGGAACAGAGTTACACAACCAAGTTGTTGGACAGAAAGAAAATTGTCCAATGTTGTGCCTTGCAGCAGAATTGAAATGCACTTGGAAGTGTCCGTTTTGTGTAATGTAAGCAAAATTCCCAAATGTCGAATAAAATGACTGCTCGTAAGAACAAGTTTTGTCATTCTACTAAGTGCCAAAATACCTCGGACAACACCCTCCAAGGTGCGGGATAAAGGCTAATATGTCATCTTCTTGTCTGGTTTGCAGATGCGCGACATTCTTTTTTATTCGTACGATTTAGAAGGATGGATGCTTGGGCAAGTTGGTGAACCATATTCTACGGTGACAGCGCAGAGAAAAAATCACACACCAGATACTCCGCGCGTGTGATTGTCTTTCTGAGTATCTGGTGTGTGATTGTTTCTTTGCACTGTCACCGTAGAATATGACTTCGAAGCTTGTGGAGTGGTATTTTTTTTTTTTGTCATGGACATAAATGTATCCACACTTTAGTATACCTTGAAGACACCGCATTTTGTTGGATGCCACTACGAGGCGAGGTTTGTGCCACCTGACGGTGCCTAAGCGGGTTGCTTGTTGTCGTTTCAGCTGCTTCAATTTTCACAATACCGGGAGTGCAACTCAGCCGGACGTCAAGTTAGTACCAGTCCTTTGGAATAGGTGTGTGTGCGTTTTTGCTTGCATCCCCCTCTGTTGTGAAGGCTGTCTCTCCCTCCCTTTTTTCTTTGTTTTGCCTTCATTTTTTGCAAGAGAATGAAGCATCCACATAGACGAGTCACACATATCCATCTATACTCCGTCTCATCCTACGATGGGCCAAAGCCCAATGCTACAGGCTGCCGGGTCCAGTCACGAGCCTGTTAAACACCACGCGTTATACTTGCTCCACCGTACGTATCGGTGCGCCAAGCCGCGTCATGCGGAGGCGAGTTTTTCGTCCGCTTATTGAGCCCTCACAGGGGCTCTGTCTGCTTGCTATTACTGAAGAGAAGCGATGTGGCAAAGAGAACTCGGGATCAGAGCCAGTGGCCATTAAGAAATGAAGATGAGTTGGATTGAGTGTTCGACCCGGGAGCGTACGCACGGACCACTTGCGGAAGGGAGATAGATGCGGGTCTGGGTAGATTCACAAAAATTGGATTGGATTGTTACGGCTAAGGCGAAACAACTTAATGTTCAGCGTTGCCTGCGCACCCTCCAACTACTGTAAACAGTTAACATGTTTACAAAATATGGCACGAATGTTTATGAAACCAAATGCCATGCTCCTTTACTTCACCAACATGAAATAGCGTGCTATCACAATCGAGAACCATAAGCGTAAGATTACTGCTCTTCGTACTCTGCACATCAAAATTTTGCTCGCGCACTCTTTTGCAATGCGGATGCAAGCTTTTCAGAGGTAGTGTTCTACCCACAAGCCTTCGGGCCCTAGTGCATCGTAGGGCGAGACAGAGTATAGTAGTCCTGGGATAGTTGCATGAGCATCTGAAGGGTGGATATGTTTGTCACTTGACGCAACTCTTTTCCTCATGTTGCCACAGTGTGATACTGGATCGTTTGTGCTGACATGGTATCCTCGGTATTGGTAAAACTGAATGAATATAACTAATGAAATTAAAGGGACGAAAACTGACACTGCAGCTTTTTCAGAGTGACACAAAGAGCTGTGTGTGTCTGTTTTCATTCCCTTCAGTGTGTTTTATCCTTCGGGTTTTACCATTGCCCTCTCCAACACGGTCCCTGCTTCCCACTTGTTATACTTATTAGAAAGTTTTAGTGTTGTGTACAAGAGCAAACGCAAGCGCCGCGCACTTACATTGGCGTTGTGTGCTGCGCTTGGCGCATGCGCGTTGTCGCCATGCGCCAGTTTGACTGCAGTTTGGGCTTTGCACACACACAGTGTGGAACATGCAATGCTAAGGCAAGCATACAGTGCTTGAGTTCACTTGTATATGCAATACTAAAACTCATTATTGTGGCTCGAATGGTACTTGGTTGGTAGTGCTGCATGCTGGATGCATGCCTATCTTAATGAAGCCTGCATTCAATACACTCATAGTCACCTTCCACCTTGTTTATGTAAATGACAATTCACCCGACTCAAATAAAAAAAATTAAAAAAAATGGGTGAACAGAATTTGTTATGACCTGGTGAATCCAGTAAAGTCCTTTAAGTTATCGAGTCTCTGTTGAGGGAAAAGGGGTGCCCAATGGCATTCAGTGACATGTATGGCATTCCTCTGCATGCATAATTACACTGCTCGTAGTGCTTCATGCTCTTCTGGTGCCAGATGAAAGCTGTGCTTTTGCTTGGACTTCTCTTCATTCATGTGGGAGAGAGGGAGAGAGGGACAAAGACCCCAAATTTCCTTTGTTTAGGAGTGCTTTTTGAGAGCCAAGATGTCTGTGAAACTTTACCTGCCTGGGATTCGAAAAACTTGGCTCGCTGCCAAGCCCCAATTAGTTTTGAAATGCTCCTTTGCATTCGTTTCACAAGAATCCGTGTACTGGGAAAATAATTTAAAAAAGCCAAGTGCTTATTTTGTAGCCCGAACTTTGCAATGCAATTAAGAAGTATTTTCGTCGTCTATTTTTTTTTTTTTTTTGCTTCCTTCATTTGAGCATTTTTATACCTGATGTCAGAGTTTTTTTTTTTTTTGCAAGGTACAGAAATGCCAGCACAGCTTCCCCAGTGCTTAAAAAAAAAAAAACATAGCTAAAGGATAGTGGGAAATGCCATTTATAGAGGCTTTTTTTGGTGATGTGAACCTTTGTTTAGACTGTCTCTGCTTGTTTCAGCTGGCATTTGAGATTAGAATGATAGTAGTAGTAATAAAAAGAAGAATGTATTCCTCTACGACGATAATGCAATTAGTGCAAAGGTGCAAGCGAGCTGGGCACTTGTCCAGCTCGCTTGCATTTTTGCATTAATTTCATTATCGTCATAATTTTAAAAAATGCAGGCTGTTCACCCTCGTTCGTGCTAGACTGGTGGCAGCTGATAAAACCAGTTTGCTCTACTGACGTCTAACCCCTGGTTAGCTCGGTTGGTAAAGCGCTCCATTGGAAATGGAGAGGTCCCTGGTTCGATACCAGGACTGAGCAGATTTTTTCGGTCGTGTTCCAATCACCTAGCTGTGTTTGGAGATTTGTGTTTATCCTTTGTCCCTCTTGTTCCCCCTCTCTTCTGCAGGGATTATTATCGTCATTCATGTATTCCTCTCTTTAGTGCTCTAAAATATTCACAATGTTTCAAAATGCTGGCAAAAATATACAAAAATATACAAAAGATGCAACTGTTTGAGAGACCAAAGAGCAGGGATTCATGGTCACCCCTTAAAACAAGCAAAACCACCGAAAATATTTAGGTCACGCATGGGTATGCACATAGGTGAGCTGGAATGTAGAAATTCACGGAGCTTGCTTGGTCATTGTTAAAAATGACGGTGAATCGCTACATAGAAATAAATATCACGAGCCTTTCTGCCGCTAATTTCTTTAAGCATAGCTTATTAACGCTACGCTAATAGGCACAGCTTATTAAATTTACTGACAAGGTATAAATGCTTGCAAGATTTCTTACTCTAGCAAAATGTATGAAAGGGATCCACCACCCGGAAAAAGGATTTGTGACACTAAATCCGCTTATTTTTCTGCAAGCAAAAACTTTGGTCTAGAATCGAGGCTTTGGGTCTCGTTTCACTCCTTTCCACGGTCACGCACAGCGGCGGCATGGCGCACAAGATATTTTCAAAGTCGTAGGCCTTCCGAGACACCCGTCGATTAATCGAAGTTGTGAAATCCGAGATACATAATTTTAACGCCACATTTTAAACACGTGGTTGCGGGGAGCGACTCCACGGTGCCCCGTGCCGGCCCTCCAGTTTTATTTGCCTTTTGGGGGCTTCTCTGTGAAGGTGGCATTGCGGTCGTTACACCACAGTAGTGCCAGGCTTCCACGAAGGTGGACGCAATGCGGATGTGCAGGGTGTGTGTCGGCACTGTGAGCATTGGTGTGTCCCCTCTTCTGTCGCAGGTCTCTGGAACGACCGCAACGTGTTGTCGCTGTAACCAAAGGCCGCCCCCTCGCCCCGTCTCCTGCGCCTCGCCCATCGCCGCGGCGAAGAGAGAAGCGAAGTGGCTCCTAGTCGATCGCTCGGTCGCGCCCCCGTCCCCCCTCGGCGCCTGGCCACTCCCCGGCGCCCTTTTCTCGACGGGCTGCGTGCAACTCCCCCGCACGTGCGATCCTCGCAATAAGGCGCCCCATGCGAGAATGTCTCACAAGGTGCTTCCCTCTTTTTTTTTTGTTACGTGCCTCCCTTTGAGGGAGGCCGCGCGACCTGCTTCTTCCCTGTTCAGGGCAGGAGCACGAAAGGAACAATCTTTTTTCTTTTCATTTCTAAGCGGACGAGGCGAGAAACCAAGTGGCATTGTCGAACCGACCTCGTCCTTTATACACTACGCGGAAACAAAGGGAGGAAGAAAGAAGCGTCGGTGCATGTCGCTATTTCTCCACATGCGCACACGTGGATTGTATGTGTGTGTGAGTGTGGAATGTGTATTCGTAAGTCACGTCCTTCCGGGGATGACTCCCTGATCTCTCGAAGAGGCCGGGCTCGACTCCTGCGTCCTTTTTATTTTGCTGTCCCCTCTGCTCCCCCCAATCTCGCCGCTTTTGGTCTCTCGAACGTAACTTAATTTCGGAAACCAGTTTTTCTTCCAGACATTCTTCCCCGCTTATGAGTCGGTTTGCGGAACTCGCGGGGGCTTGAGCAAAACGAAACGAGGATGCGGTCTGTCGCACGCTTCATTCGTTTCCTTTTACACTTCTTATTTTTTGTGTCGTAACCGTAGGGAACGGCACTAGGCCATCGACATAGCTGCAGGATTTTTGACGAGAGTCGCGCTCAAACAACGTGGGTGACGAGGCACAGAGTTCATTTTTCGAGCATGCGTCGAGTAGGAGCCGTTTGCTAGCACCCCCGACAGCCTGGGAGGGCGTGTGCTCAAGATGCCCCGTTCTGTGCCCAAGCGGGTAACGGCGGAACCAGCTTAGATTTTTGTACCCGCGCGTAGCCGTCGAGAGACGAAAGAAGTCAGTTTTGCGTCCACCATGCAAGTTCCATCCCACACGCTTTTCGCCAGGCCACCCCTGCGCCCCGACTCCTCGCAAACCATTCCCGTCGTCCGCCCAAGGTCACGGCGTCCCCCGACCAGCTTTGTCGTCGAGAACGTCCGTGACGGAACGCTCAAGGTCGGGAGTGTAGCCAGCGTCGAGGAGTGCCGCGCGAGTGTCGAATCAAAGTACGCCCTTCTTTCGACGCACTCGAACAGGACGAGAAGCCGGCGTCGCTAGGCTTTCGTAGCGAACCCCCTTGTATTGCACAGACCGAGCAAGCAGTCCATCCAACACGTGCACGACTACAGTTGTAGCAACAGCCCTGCCCTCCACTGCGGTGTGCCCCCGTTCAACATGGAGGTAGGAAACTTCTGGAGGTGACATGATGCCACCAGAGGTGAAGCCAGAAGTGGGAAGGGACATGCGCCAGTAATGACCAAAATCGAGAGATGCCATTAGTTGAAAAGGAGAGCTGACTTGGCACCAACAGCTGTTTTAATGCGAAAGCATTAACTGGTCCCATGGAGCGAACTGGCGTTATCAGCTTTTGAAGCCGCGCCAAACAGCACGTAAATTCCCCAGTCCTTTTGGTGCGAAGCTTGTAGTCTGAAGCAGCGATTTGATGGATGGGCTCCCATTGGGCTGGCGCGCGTCATAGTTTTAAAGAACGAGGCTCCCATTGACTGGCGCACGTCATAGTTTCAAGGTACGCCATCCCATGGCACTGCGGGCCCTGCCCCAGTAAAAAGGAACATGGTGGCACGTGCTTGGCCGCTTCTGCTCCTTTCGACACCGACGAACATGAGCGTTACCTCGGCAGTAGCGAAACCTGCCCGTCCACACAAGTACACCGCAGACAAACCAAGGGTGCAGAGTAACGTAGCACGAGCGAGGAGGCAGGCAGCGAAATCCACCATCGTTGTCAAATCTCCGAATACATGGTGGGCAGAGCGAGCGGCCGTGCAACGCGCCAGGAGGCAGAGCAGAGCCTTTCGAAAGCTTAAGGTGCAAGCAGATCGCGATTCAAAGTGTTTCGAGCGGCAAGAGGACTAGGCCCTTCGACAGCGCGATGCGGAAGCAATACGTCGCAGGCGGCATGCTTTCGCATTCACAACTCGTAAGAAGTGCTTCGGTGTCCTCGGACTTTTTTGTCACCCTCCCCGAGGGTGACCAAAACAGCTGTTTGTGCCAAGTTAGCTCTCTTTTTCATCCAATAGCGTCTCTTGGTTTAGGTGATCGTTGAGGGCGTGTCCCTCCACACTTCTGGCTTCACCTCTGATGGCATCATGTCGCCTCCAAAAGCTTCCTACCTGCATGCCGTTCAGCCTCCCGTTATTTCGTAAACGTCTTCTCTTTGTCCCTAGGGTCGCCTTTGCCTGTGCGATGATACTCGCGCCGCGTCCGGCGCATGCGTCTTCTTTTCCTCGGGCGCCGTGCCGCCGGCGAAAGTCGTGACTCGTCAAATGTGCGGCGAGTGAGAGAAAGAAAGAGAGAGAGACCTGTACCTGGTGCGTTTCTACGATTGCTCATGGATTTTTTCAGAACCACCGACCGCATGTGCGGCACCGTGCGTGTGTGTGTGTCGAGATGTGTGTTGTGCCATAGGCTGGAAAGGGTGCGATGTAAAACGAAGGAATCAGTGGTGCCACCACAGTTTTGCTGCCATTGCCGCTTAAAAGGAGGAAAGAAACGTGCGTAGAACGCCTCTCGGCATTCCATAGACTACTCTGGAGGCTTCCCGGATCTGGAAAAGTGTGAGGCGAAGCCGCGTTTTTAATTGTTTTCCACCATAGGACTAGCGTGACTTTTGTTTTTTTTTCCCTCTTTTTTTTTAAACAAAAGAAAAGGTGCTGTTTGGAGGATTGGACACCTGCACCGAAGGCATCATCTCAAATCTGTTGTCCAGTTGTTGTAAATAGGACTGTACATACCATACAGTAGCAGCAAATGAATAAAATCTTGATCAGATGTGTTTTCTTGTGTGCGTCCTTTTTGAGGAGGACAGAATCTTCCCGACAACCATAGGGAGGCTGGGGTTGTTGGAGAATTTCCTGGACACCCCCAAACACCCCATTCCTTGACTGTCTCATGGGTGCTGCCATGTTGCTGTCTAGCACAGTAAACCCAGTGATGGCCAGTTTTTTTTCCTGGAACTAGTCTATCTTCAAAACCAGTTTCGCTTAAAAGTCCTCGTCCCTGGTACCAACCTATTTCGGATTATGAAGAAGTGGCTATGGTGCCGGCTTTTGCCATGTACGTTGGTTTGGTGGATGCTTTTGGTGCTTTGGTGGATACCGGCTGCTTTTAAACTCTTCGCATCCAAGGTTTTGTGAAAACCTTGCGGTTGAAGGAACGAGTTGTAGTAATGAAAGCCGCTACATGATGCTGCATGATGGGCTAAAACCTCTCTCTTCCTCCCGTTGTAAAAAGGCATGCACAGTGATGAGTAGAGGCAGATGATGTTTGCATTCCAAAATTTGTAAAGAATTCCCTCTGAAGTGATTTTGGAACGAGCATCTTGATCCCCCTACAGAGAAAAAAAAAAAAGAAAATTGGTTTCACTTTCAGCAGGCTGTAGCACAAGTAGATTCATAGCAGTCCTGGATGAAATCGTCGAAGACTGCTAGAAAGAGCTGTAGCTTTCTCGCTGTTGGCAGGTATTGCGACTAACTGCAGAAGAAAATTCTACCGTTGCCGGAACGGCAGTTACAGCGCGAAGTACTTTTAGGATACATCTGTCTTTAATAAAATCTCCATGACTAGAGGGCCGCTAGCTTGGAAGTGGCTACATCGAAAAGGTAAGTTTTTTTTCCCCCATTTTCATTCCGATTGTATTTAGGGGTTCGTCCTTCAGCTGCGGTCGACCCAGCTGAAGCGCGAGGCGTGTTGACACGCGACACGGAGGCGTGCATCTAACAACACGTCGTGACGCAGCTGGACCGAAAGGCGAAATCAACTGTGCAGCTGGCCAACTCGACAGTAGCTGCCGTTTGCGAAACTTCCGGAACGCTTTTTTTGACGCCAAAGCACTTTATGCTTTAGTAATTGGTAATTAAGGGGTAGTGCTGAGTCAATACTGGGCGAAGCATAGCAGCGGTCACTCGGCAGCATGCAAGATCCAGTACTAAATAACGGGAGGGCATCCGCGAGATCTTCGCAGCTGACTTCCGCGAGTCTCTTTAGGGTGAAAATGTCGGATGCCAGAGTAGTTAGTATCTTGGGCTACGGGCGGGTCTGAAACGGGCCTGCCTGCCAGAGGCCGGGGCCCATACGACCTTTGCTCGGATTTAACGAATTGCATAAAAGGTGAAGAACTGACTTTGTGTTGCGGAAAACTTGCGCTAGCATAACAGCGGCTGGAACTGCTGGAACGCTTAGGAAGTTTGGGAATATCGCACACGGCAGCTCTCGAGCTCCCCCGCAGCCGTGAACGCGCAACGGCTCAAAATAAACTTGGCAAGCTCACTTTGGCCAAGTTTCCAGCGACAACGTCAATCGAGAACACCTAAATTCCTCCCGCGAGGCTCTGTCGTAACTTATTGGGAAGTACGCGACGTTCTTTCGAGAAAAAAGAAAGAGTATCACGATTTTGTTTACTTCGCGATCGTCACCGGATAACTCCAGCTGACGAACCCAGCATCGCAAGATGATAATCCATGCAGAAAATCAATTTTTCTTTTGTTCCCCAACCGCCGCAGCTTCGTAAGCGCGAAAGAAACCAGCGAGCTTAAATATTATCTTAAAACAAACCAAATAAAAAAGTCGGACCATCAACAGGCTGCGTAAAATTGCGCGTTTTTATTTTCGAGCCCGGCAAACCGGCTTTTTCCGAATATTTTCCGCGGCTCGGAGGGCGGGCTTGTCTCGAGCGCAGCAGTCAAATCGTCATCGCCGCAAGCAATATATTTTTGACTCGTAAGTGTACATAAGTAGATGAGATTCGCATTTCGTTGTATTGATATTAGAGGGCTTGAAACAGATGCTCTGCATGCGCCCGTTGTTTGCTTGGGACGCATGGCTCGCTATGATCGCGCTCGATCCGGACTTCTCTGTCGCTTTCGAAGGCAACTCGGGGCCGTCGCCGTAGGCGTAGGAAGAAAAAAACCTTAGGCTAAAGGAAAAAAAAAAAAGCGCTTTTCTTTGTTCCCCCGTTTGAGGAAATTTGTGTTTCTGGAATGCATGCGGCGATATATGGCTATGAAAACATGGATGCGGCGCATCGTTTTTGAATGCGCGCTGCGTTAGAAACGGTTTCGGTGGCCCCCTTGGGCTCCTTCGGGGTAGGGGAAATTTGATCGTGCAGGATCTGCCCGTGCGGTCGCTACGTGCGTCCGACGATTAGTGGGCGAACGCATTAAAAGGTTTCGCGGAGAGCCCCTTTTTGCCGCCGCGTTATTAATCATAACCGCGTGCGCGCGCGAGGGCGTGTGTTGCGGCGAAGCACGCGCTCGCTCTTTTGCGGCGGCTGTGCAGAATCGGGGCGCTTTTACTCGGCGGTGTTGGTGGGGTGTTTTTTGGTGGCGTCGGGTGCAGCCGTGCGAATCTTTCGACGCAGCTGTGACTTTTGTGCGGGGCTGCGTATCGATAACTTCGGGCACGCTTTTTCCTGCTTGATTTTGTTTGCCGTTATACCTGTAGTTCCGCGATGCTCTCTCTCTCTCTTCGTTCGAGGGCTTAGTCGGTTCGAGTTGAATAATCTGAACATTGTACAGACCGAACATGGTTCGTCAATTTTTTTTTTTTTTTTTTTTTTTTTACCTTTTGGTAATTGCGTCGGAACTTGGATGATTTATCAACTTTCTCGTTGCTCTAACACGCTGTACTAGCTGTTAGTCGTTCGTTTTCCGTGTGTTGCTTCTTTTCATCCGAATTTTTTGTGTATCTTCCTAACGATTCGGTGTCGAGATGATTATCTCATTTCTAAAGATGATTATTTTCAGATCGAACTTACATATTTCCCAGTGCTGTTCGTGTAAAACTTTTGTTCCTAATCATTTTTTTACTTACATTAAGTTGAGCTTATCATAAAACACGCAAAAGGTGTGATATAAGTAATCTCATTGTGTCCAGGCATGCTAAATCTATTCAGATGCTATGCCCATCTCGCGTATATATTACTCAAAGAATAGTCTAATAACGACGAAACCTTGGGAGGGTCAACCTGTACAGTAGTCGGTGCTTCACTTGTAGCTTTGTTAATCCCACTGTTACCGAAAACATTATACTTTCTTGCCCTACTTTGTAAAATTTTGTAGGTCCATTGTGGCATTCGTAGCTGCTCTTACGGTTGCATCTGAACTTCGAACCGACCTGCCTGTACAGCTGGCTTGAGGAAAAGACATTTTGGTGTTTTGGAAAGCCAGCTTATATTTTGTTAGGGGGCATGTTCGTTGTTAAGCTCCACTAATGCCTTTAAAAAAATATTGCCTAGAGTTGCGAGGCTTCTCCGGTCTCTGTCGTTCAAGTCCCCATTATTGTCCGATTTGGACGGCAGAGCACCGAGTCCGAGGAACATTTTCTCTTTGCTCGCGTCGCCGCAGAGGTAACCCGGTGACCTGAGGCAGCCAGCATGGCGCTGCAATACCTGTGCCCGCTGTGCCCATACGAGACTCGGTCGCGAGGCATCCTCTACCGCCACCTGCTCATCCACACGGGCGTGAAGCCCTACTGCTGCGAGCACTGTGGCCGGCGCTACGCTTTGCCCGAAACGCTGCTCCGGCACATGGCCGCCCACCGCAAGAAGCCGCCCTACCAGTGCAGCCGCTGCACCCTCGCCCTGGACCACTTCTCCGAGTACCTGCGGCACCAGGTGTACCACATGCTCAAGAGCATCCACCGGTGCTCGTCATGCGGGGAGGGCTTCGTCTGGAAGCAGGCCCTCAAGCACCACTCGCGGCTCCACAAGGACAGTCGCCACCTGTTTCATATGTTCTTCCGAAGGCAAGCCAAGATGGCCACCGCCCGTCAGGCGGCGCGCTTCCCCGGTGGCGCCAACGAGAATGACATGCCCCTTGACCTCAAGATGCCTCCGGTCAAGGTCAAAGCGGAGCTCTCGGAGCGCCCCCTCAACCTGAAGAGCACTAACAGCAACAACCACGGCCAGGGAAGACTGGACCAGGACAGGACCCTGGGGCTCCTCCAGTGTCCTCCGCTCCAGAGCCCCCTGGGGAACCTGCTGATGCCAGGCTGCTCCCCACTCCTAGACAACTACTTCAAGTTCTACATGTACCCGCACCTGAACCTGCTGCCTTACCAGAACGGCGGCGCGGGACTGGCGTCTCCGGACTCACCCGTGGCAAACGGCGGCGAGTCGGGCCTCCTGGTGTGCCGCGTCTGCGGCTGGCAGTTCACGAAGTTGAGCCACCTGACGGCCCACATGTATGTGCACACGGGGCGCCGCCTGCACAGCTGCGAGGTGTGCAGCAAGACCTTCACCCGCAAGGGCTCCCTCAAGCTACACCGGCTGCAGCACCTGGACGAGAAGCCGTACCAGTGCGACATCTGCCGCAAGACATTCCTGCAGGCGCGCTACCTCCGCGCCCACCTCCTGGTCCACCGCAGGCAGGAGGCCTCTTCGCTGCCCGTCGAGCCCGAGCTCGGGGACGCAGTGCCGCCCGCTTCTGCACCTGTCTTCCCGGCCGTGTTCGGAACCGCGATGCCGACCCCAGACCTGTCCGTGCCGGAGCCAGAGGCCGTCGAGTCTCCGGAGTCGTCGTCGGGCGCCACACCGTCTGGGTCGTCCCCCCACCGGTGCCCCGTGTGCCAGAAGGGCTTCTCACAGCCGTACAAGCTGCGCCGCCACCTGGTGATCCACGCCAGCCCCCGTATCCACCAGTGCAACGTCTGCCAGAAGGTGCTGCCCTCGGTGACGGAGCTGCGGAGCCACAAGAAGTCGCACGGGCGGGCGCGCCTCCACTGCTGCGACTACTGCAAGAAGGACTTCTCGTGCTCCTCGACGCTGCGCCGGCACGTGCGCATCCACACGGGCGAGAAGCCCTACCAGTGCGAGGTGTGCTTCAAGCGCTTCTCGGACCTGTCCAACAAGAACTGCCACATGCGCACGCACACGGGGGAGAAGCCCTACCGCTGCCAGGTGTGCAGCATGAAGTTCTCCCTCAAGAACGCCCTCAACTGCCACATGCGCAACCACATGCTCTAGCGGCCTCTCCCCGCCTGCCGCCGACGCAAAGTATCTTGCTCCTGCCGCCCACCCGTCGTGTGCGGCCTGGCGTACCTTGAGGTTGCCCGGAGGAGGGAATGTGATGGTTTTTGTTGCGACACGCTGTTCCGGAGGAGGTTCTGGATGGGATGGGGGCTTCCGTCGGCGATATTGGAGCGTCTCGCGGAAATCCCAATCTTTCATTTCTTCATTTACCTCTTCATGCTCCGTTGGGTGTTTCTGCAAAAAGGTTCTATTTCTGTTCGAGTAATGCGCTGTCTCTTTCAGACATCTGCACTGTGTTAATTCGTGTTCTGAATGCTCCCAATTGCTTTTGGCATAAATTTTCACATATTTTCGGTTAGGAAAATATAATCAAAATTCTTTATTGAGCACCTCAGCTTTGGGAAAAAGCTTTTTAGATTTTATTGCATTTTAAAGGAGTTTATAGTTTCTCTGGCAGCTCAAGCATTGTGTGCAATACCATTTGGTTGATGTGGAGCATGACAAAATCCTACCTCTAGCATTCTTACCTCTCTCTAGCATTCTTTCTTGTACGGTAGAGGTGGGACATTTTATTCCTTGGCAATTTTACGGGTTTGCTTTATGACAGAAAAGGTCAAGAGCCGATTTCGAAATCTAGGCCAGTGCAAAGTCGACTTTGCTCGATCATTGTTGAGAAGCCAGCAACTCTATGTTACAAAGATTTTCTTAATTTTTTTCTAGATATCTCGGTTTTTTGGGAAAGGTGTTCCTTTTTAGTGGAAATCCTGATTTTATCAATGTTTCTTTTAAATGAGATATTTGTACTGCTGTAGAGCAGTGCAGTGCAGAGGTTATAAGATTCTGGTCATGGACCTGCTGTGCACCCAATTGTTTCCTATCCCGAGCAGTGTTTCAACTTGCAGAATATTTTTGAAAGCGGACCTTTTCTTTTTTATTTCGTAGTGCTGCCAGCGGCTGTGCTTGGCTCAAATGTCACTGACTTGCAAGCTTTGTCTTTCTGCTGATCTATCCTTCCTCAACACAATCGACAGACAGTCTTTCCACAAAATACGTTGTACAGGGCAACTCCTCAGCAGCGGAGGTGTAGCGTATGGTTACTGTCATTGACTCAGTGTTTCTCTTTCGAGGAGTTCAGTTATTAGATCTGTTCTGTGCCGATCAGCCCGGTAAAGATGATGGCCGTTGTAGTTTTAAACCGCTTTGCTTCGTTCAAAAGCTCACTTTTTTTTTGTGAAGCAAGGTTTTCATTTACAGGATCGAGTTCAGGTGTGGACGGTATGGTGACTTTCGAAGTGCACTTGTGGCCTTCGCATTGCATAGATATTTGTAGCCCTCTTTGATTCCTTTCTTTGGCTCAGTCAGCAGTGTGAAAAATAGGAGTGCTGCTTTTTCTGAAAGCATTTTTTGACATGTATGTGCCTGGTTTGCATTATGGTGCACGGATTTGTACAGCAGTTCACGTTTGTTGAGTCGGCTCTTAAGGGTTTTTGGAATTGTTTGTTGGCTTGATCTGTAGCACGCCACTCTCCTTTCCTTTTTGCAGTCATATGATCGAAGCGGTGATATTGTTTTACCTCTCTGTTTATATATATATATTATATATATGCATACTCATACGTGCAAGGAATCTTGCATTACTCATTTTGTTACGTTTGTCGCTTGGCCGGCTCGTAGCACAGAATACTCACCGAACGAATTTTCGGCAATGGCGCGGGCCAAAAGTGACGGTACGGCGGCAGGCTGCAAGCGCGGGAAAGGGGAGGAAGGACAGCATCTTTTCTCGGAAACCACTATGCATCACGTGAAGAAGACGTGTCTGTAAGATTCACGATGTAAAAAAAAAAAAAAAAAAAGAATGCAGAGAATTATGTGTATCCTCGCAGGAATGTACACACTGTAAATAGCGACCCAAAAGCCACCCAACTGGTATACTACGTTGGAATCTGAGTACCCTCATTGCATACGTCCGGTACCGACAGACACGCCGTCTGCTACCTCAGCTGGTCATCTTTGTTTCGGTTCTCCAAGAGACCCAAGAAGCGGAAATGCCCAGGGAAGAGTTTCGTGTCTTCCTGTCGTGTGGGGTTGTCTTTAGCATTAAGCCGGTCGAGGTGTGCGATGGGGGGGGGCATCATTAAAGAGAGGAAGGAAAACGAGCATTGTCACAATTGATTATTGTTGGAGACAAACTTCCACATTACGGTCGGTCCATTTGCTGTATTCGTTTTTCCAGACTGCAAACTGATATGGTCATTGTGCATCTGTTAACTGACAGGGTTGTCTATCAGACACATGCTAGGCAGGCTACATGATTTACAGTCACAAAAGTTAGAAAAACAAAAGAAATATTTTAGAATTGTGTATGAGGTAAGGAGTAGCATGCTTGGGAGTGTAGTGAGGTTTAAAGAAAAGAAATGTGTCAAAATATGACTTCGGCAAACCTTTGCTTTGAAAGCTGTGCTTGTCGGTGTCACATTTTTGCCCAACTCCACTCGAGTGTCGTCAGTTATGCAGCCTGACTTGATACCATTGGCTAAGTCTGTTTTACCCCCCCCCCTATTTCGTGAGCGATGTAGTACTTGCACTGTACTACGCATTTGCTGCTCGTCTAAAACTCCGGGGCAGTTAACAGTTGCAGACAAGAGAAGCAAGTGCTAAGTCAGACTGGCCCAGCAACCGAAACTTATCCCGACAATGATTCTCAGTTGTGCAATGCCTGTTTTGTTAGGAGTGGATATGAAGCAACCCGCCTGCTGTTAGTTTGTAAATAGAGTACCTGTGTCGTCACCAGTGACAGCTACCTCAGGCTGCATACAAGAACCAGCCGCCGCTTAAAACGTCCACACGTCTTATTACTGACCTCTTCAAGCCCTCTCATAAAGTGCTTGTCTGCTACGTTTTTGAAGGGGGTCTGACTTGTTTCGGCGCTCAGTTTTGGTGAGCTTTCTTGATCTGATAATATTTGGCTCGAGTGAGATATGCTCTGCGTGTTAGTGTCTAGCTACACGGCCTTTGGCATTAGTCGGAGTGATACTCTGCAGTTTTATTGAAGGCGCTTGCGTTTGACAGATGTGTGGTATTATATTACGTTTGTCCTAAGGTTGAGCCCGTGCTTTAGATGCATTCATGGGCATGTAATACTGGTGGTTTGTTTATTATTGTTACTGGAGAGACAGCTTTTGCTGTCTATCAGACCGATGATGTCCAAACAAGATTTGGTACAGGCCTACACACACTGGGCTTGAAACATGATCTCACATGGGCTTGGATGACATATGCAAACATGTGGAGACAACTGTAACAGGGTGAATTTTGTTTTTGTGTTTGACCATATCCACTTGGTGATAAATTTGGCTTGATTCTTGTCGCTGTCAAAGACAACATATCAAGGTAATACAGGAGCAATATTTTGGCTTGCGCTTTGGTAGCCTGGATATCGTGAAGTATTCCTTCCGATTGCCCGTATTTTCCTCTGTTCACTCTTGATTTGGTCCGTACGAGATTTTGGTGCAACTTTGATGTGCTAGGCTCGTTCAAAGTGCTGTCAAGTTGTACTTGTGGGAAAGACTGTTTTAGAAGGCAAAGGCACCCAAGTGTACCGACTTAGAATACGCTCAGTGTAACATAGTGTCACCTCTAAAATAAAGTATCAAAGTAAGGTGGTGCAATGTTTCTTCGATACTTGGAAGTTTGAGAACAGCATCCAAGAACAAACACTTTGAAATGCATTGCTTCTGAGCATACAGCTTCGTGCGTCCTGTATGTATGTTTCGCATTCTGGAAACATCTATAAATGTTCATCTTCTAATGGTATACTAGCATACCTGCATGAACCTGCAGGTCTCCTTGTTGCAAATATGCACAGACTTCATTGCACAAGCTCATACCTTGGAAAGCGGTCTGCTGCACAAGTGTAACTAAAAGGAGTGATCTCGCATGCAGGGTTCTAACTGGCATTAGTAAGGATTCAAAATTTTATTTATTTATCTATTTACAATAGTAAAGAATGAAATAAATATTGGAAATTTGCACGAATACTACTTGAGCTTCAACGAAAATACTCCTCGTATGTCCAATTGCGCAAACGTTTCACACTTACTTGGTTTCAGTTTCCGTTTGGTTTGGGTGCTGAACTTATTGTTATATTTTTTAATAAAATACAAAGTAAGATATACTATGTTTAATAGCGAATAAGGTATTATATTAAAAACAAAAGTTTAAATAAACTACTGAAATAAAAATTGAGTACGGTGCGCCATCTGGATTCCCAAGATTTACTGAAAGAGCATGCCTCAACTTGTAAACTGTGTGATCTGCCCAGATGTGCCATGTGGTTGAGTTTTTCTGCTGCTGGTTAGGGTACTATTTTTACAGTGGCCACTGTAATTTTATTTCTGAAACCGACCTCGTACGTTGGAAACTGTCGTTGACGCCGCACTTCATATAGAAACATGCTGACATTTAGCAAGTTAACGGCTCTACGACATCTCTTGGGTTTCCAACGCACCCGTGCTGCTTTTGTTGCGCTACCGCTCGGTGAGTTGTTTGCGTCGTTCTCCATTGAAGTAATACGTGATTTTCTTACACAAACAAAAGGAAATTTCAGTGGGGTTCGAGTCTGGCATATGGAAACCGTGACCCAGGCTCTTCGAATAGTGTTAATAAATAACTCTACGCAATTCTTCCTACTGTTTGCACAGGTCGTGACTACAGCACAACGGCGAATCCAAATGACAAGTGAGTTTAATTTTATTTGACGAGTATTTTCTCCACGGGCCATTCCAAACGAAAGAAGGGGCTCGCTACTAGCTACCAAGCAACGGAGAAGACAGAGGGAATACTCCATTTGCAATATTCACAAGCGTTCCGGCCCGCACTCGAGAAATCATGGGAACGGTGTTCCTTCAGCTCCCTATAGATAGCTAATTTGGACCAATTCCATGGTTACACAGTTCTTGAGTGTAATTCGGAGTCACCCTGAGTAAGCGCATGAAGAACCCCAAGGACCTGTCATATAACTTTTAAAATTTTTTGTCAATGTTAGCATTTTTGATACTGTGCATGCGATCCACCTTTCAACCTTGCTGAGCTGCAGAACTCTCTTACAAAATTATCATTCTCGTGATTTTTGTTTCAGCAGGAATTGCTTAAAAAGCCGATCATTCACAACAACAAAAACCAGGATTTAGCTCCGAGTCCGCGGAGCTGTTCATAGCATTTTTAGCGTTTCTAACTTAATATCAGCGTCTTTGAAGCTGTGCGAGAATGATAATAATGTAAGAGATTTCTGCAGACCGTCCAGGTTGAAGGGTGGACAGCATGCGTAGTATCAAAAACACTAACATTGAGGAGAAATTTTAAAAGTGATATGACAGGTCTGTTGCGTTAATTGAACGTCAAGGACTTACGGTAAGAAACAAAATGGATTTGCTATTTACATGGCGAAGTTAATCTGCTGGTGTCGGTCATCGCAGTCATTCCGTCCATCTTCTTCTTCTATCTGCCCCGAGCCCTAACCCCTTCTTTTTTTCCTCGTTTTCGTCAACCGCCCATTTACACGAGCACTGTACGGCTGTTTCCCGTGAGTAGGAGGTGTCCAATTTACAACAGACTGCCCCCAAATGAGCGTTATTAGATCGCTCATTCAATATAAAGCTCTAGCGGATATAAAAGTTGGACGGGTCTTTTCAACACTTGTCCGCCTGGCAAGTTCACAGCGCAGGATCGCACTATACCGTCCCGGCCGTAGAATACCTGCCCAATTCGTCCAGTCCGCCACAGGTGTCTGGGCGTTTTGTTCTCCTCAACTAGAACCAGGTCTCCTTCTTGAACTTGGCTGTTTCGGTGACAAGTTGTTTCGTGTGCTGATCGCAGCTGGAGCAAGTATTCTTTTCGCCACCGCTGCCAAAAGTGTTCTAGTAGTTGTTGATGCTTTCTCCAACGCCGGGTGACATTTTCTCTCGTAGAGGTTTGGAGTTTCTCAGAACCCGCAGTTGGAAGAGCTGTCAGTCGCTTTCCAGTCAGAAAATGCGCCGGGGTCAACGCTTCGGGCTCGTCGGGAGAGGCATGCAGGAATGAGAGGGGCCGTGAGTTAACGACTGCCTCAATCTCATGGAGTATAGTGGTAAGCTCTTCAAAACTGCAGAAATTTCTTCCTAGAGCTTTCCGAAGGCTTGTTTTGACAGTGCGTACCATACGCTCCCAAACCCCCCCCCAGGCAGCTCGGTCAACAATGAATTTCCACTGTATTCGTTGTTCGGTGTAGTGTTCCAGTGATGTGATTGCTGCGCCAATTGCACCAGACTGCGCCGAAGGGCTAACCCTGCTACATCTTGATACATTTCGCCAAAATATAGGTAATCTGCGCCAAGCTTGCGCCAAAGAACCAATTTTGCTCGCCTTTCAAAACCAAATCTAAGCTGAGTACTGTAATGAGCACGCGTGAGCTAAATGGCGCAAGCAGGCACCTGACACAAAGTACCCTGCATCACTCGTTCATCCGGTCTTGCATGGTTTTTCCCGCCGTCTCTCGTTTCACGCTCTCGTCCTCTCGTTGTCTCGCGTTTTTTCAAAAATTTTTCAACGATAGACGCGGGTGTCTGCGGACGCTCCGACACCAGCGTGGGTACCAGCCATGTCATCATGCTCTGAAACGAAACCACGTTTTTGCGCGGCGGGAGTTACTTTGTGAGCTGAAGCACTTGCTCCTGAAAGCAATGGCCGTGGGAAAATTACATTTGGTACCTGCCTGCCAGTCGTACTGGTCGCGCGATGTCGAGTGTTGCCGTCGCCACGTCGCTGCAGATATGGCACTTTCTAAACTGAAACGTAAGGACCGCCTTAATCTTCACCAACATTCTTATTCTTGTTTAATGCTCTACTAAAAAAATTTCCTCTAGATCAAAGACTGCTGTGTCGAAGTTTTGCCTGGGTTTCTCTCGGTAAGCTTTTTTTCGAGGGATCGCCGGTACTTGAAAAATCTGCCGCAAGAGAGTTGGTGAAATGAAGTGAGCTAAAGCAAAGAAGGCAATGTCTGTTACGCTGAACTCGCACAGCGCGCTTGTTTGTCTCGAGTTCAGTCGTTGCTCAAAGCGCTCCAAGAACTTTCTGACCCTGGCTCGTGATATCTTGCATCGATGTGCTCAGATTCTTTTTTTTCTGTATGTTTAGCTTATACCTCGCCAGCCGCTCTGGCAAGCACGTGCGGCTGGGCTGTTTTTTGTCGTATGCTGGACAGTTACATTTTGTGTACAATTTTGGCAACCAGTTGGCGACGGAGCGGAGTGGCATGGTTTCGATCGAAGAGCTATCTCCGCTTGCGTGACAATTTCGTATTGCACTGCAGTGGTAACGTGGATCAACAGTTAGAGACTGCTTCTATTTATTATATAACTAGTCAACCTAATGCCGCGATATTTAATACTAAGCTGCATGGTCACTTTAAAATAAATTTTAATAGATGCAGTTTGGTTTTTAGTTACCTATATCAGGGACATATATATGTACCATTTTACTGAAAGGAGCAGAGCAACGATATTCAATTGGAATGTTTTTCACTTGACACGAGCTTACTGGCACACCTGGGACTTAAGGATACTCACACGCAACGCCACTGGCCGAGAAACTCCTTTGTTGTGGTGTAATTTCAAGGACAAAAGCGATCATTTTCATTCAATCTCTCCTTTGCAAAATTTGATGACGTAACGTGGGGATCGCAGTACACCCAAGTGACGATATTTAAATGGAGTTCATAGATTGGACCCGAGCATTGCGTGGGTACTCGACTTGGGCTCGTGATAATTGCTAGCTCGAGAAACATTCGGGTAGTGACCCATGTCCAATCGCTGCAACGACGACAACAGCCGAGCCATAACAATGTCTGGAACTCAGCGCGTGTCCTGCGCTTTGCCAACCCCAGCGCGTGGCTATGATCACTGGTGGCATATAATCGGCTCAAGATCACGTGGCCACTTGTTCTGGCTACGAGTTGGAGTGAACGCTGCTGGTTTTTCTTTAATTTTTTTCTGGGACTTCTTTTGCGTGGGGTGAAAAACGAACGCGTGTTTCATAGGTCATTAACGTCAGGGATCCGTTTTAAGCGGTATTTGCGCAAAGTACAAAAATAGTTGCATCGCTCCTTGAAGCATTGAATTATGTTTCATGTGATTGGCATTTCAGTTACATGTTGAAAGACTCCCAGGTGGTCTAACTTGACTATAATATGTTTACTGCGGCGAGAAAAGTGTCCTTCGTTTGTCCAGCACTTAAAACAAATAATTTTATTTTTCTAAGAATATCTGCTCCAAAGTGCACTTTTGCTGCTCCAAAACACTGTTTTGGCTGCTCCGAAAGGTGCTCCAAAACGGCTTAGGCCAATCACATCACTGAGTGTTCTTGCACTCTTTTGTCTTTCAGCGCGTTCCATAAGTTGCGGACGTCCTTTGAGGCTCTCTTGAAAGTTAAGGTGTTGTCGCTGTATATCACTCTAGGTGTCCCTCTCCTTGTTGTAAATCTCTGGAAGGCCATGAGAAATGTTGGAGTTGCGAGGCTTGTAACTAGTTCCAGGTGGACAGCACGAGTTACTGCACAAGTAAATAGTGCTATATATGCTTTTTTCTCGGGGTGTCCGGATCTGACTAACAAAGGTCCGGCAAAGTCCTCTCCTACTACTTCAAATGAGCTCGCCTCATTTACGCGGTCTTTTGGAAGTGGTGCAGTCGGTGCTGATGCTCTTTTGACTCTTGACCTTGCGCAGGCGTTGCATCGGTTTATAACCTTGTTGACAGTCTGTCGTGCCCTTGGCACCCAATAAAGTTCACGTAACTGTGTCACAGTGTCTTGAAGTCCTCCATGGAGTGTACGCCTATGCATGTCCTTAATCAGCAGTTCAGTGAAAGGATGCTCAAGTGGCTGTATTAATGGGTGCCTGATCTCCACTGCTTCGTTCATATTTTGTAGCCGTCCGCCAACTCTCATGAGCCGGTGTGCGTCGAGGTAGGGGTTGAGAGCGATGATGCTGGACTTCTCGGTCAATCTCCCTCCCTCCAGCAGTTCGTTGAGCTCTTTGGGGTAAGCCTCCTCTTGCGTTCGCCTGACCCAATGCAGTTCTGCTCTTTCAATCTCTTCAGTTATAGAGGACCTTTGGTGCGATTTTGAGGCGTTCTACAGTTATTAACAAACCTTATCCAAGCAGTAACTCGTAGTAGTAGTCCTATTCTACTGTATCGTTCCAGCTTCAAAAGAGGTGTCGTTACTTTGGTTTGTATCTGAAGCACCTGATGTTTACTCTTTCGTTCCTCTTCTTCTACTTCCATCGGGATATTTTCGCTTGTAATGACACCTGGCCAGGTGTCTCTGTCTTCAGAGAGCCACCTAGGGCCGTTCCACCAGAGTTGACTCGTTCGTAATTTACCTATTGATATTCCTCGCGTCATCAAGTCCACAGGGTTCTCAGGTCCAGGGCAGTGGTTCCAACTGGCCGGTTCCCCTCCAGATTGAATTTCGGTAACCCTATTAGACACAAAAGGTTTCCACTTTACTGCTGAACCCTTGATCCAGTGAAGAACAATAGCGCTGTCTGTCCAGAAGAATACCTCCTGGACGTCCATCATCTTTTTTAGGTAGTTGCCTATTCGGTTCCCAATCACTGCTGCCATAAGCTCCAGGCGCGGAAGTGTCAAACGTTTTATCGGCGCTACCCTAGTCTTGGAGAATACCAGACTGACATCTGTCTTCCCATTCATTTCTTTCACCCTCAGGTAGCCACACGTTCTATAAGCGAGGGGACTGGCATCACAGAAGACATGCAGTTGTAGAGACGTCTTGTGCTCTTCTTGTGTGCTTATGACACACCGGTTGGTGGCAATATCTATTATCTGTGAAACCTCTTTGCACCATTGTTGCGAGTCTCCTGAGAGGTCTTCAGGAAGCTCTTCGTCCCAGTTCAGTCCGCGTTCCCACAATCGCTGAAACAAGACCTCACTCTTATTACAAACGGGGAAATAAGTCGAAGTGGGTCGAAGGCCCTCGCTGGAGCACATAGTACACAACGCTTCATTGTGCTGTTGCCGTTGATGAAGTTGAGTACAATCTTGACTGGAATCAACAAAGTGTCGTTATCCCGTCTCCATCGCAGTCCAAGAATTCCTCTGGGTTCTGAAAACGTTGACGTGTAATGACCCTCGTCAAGCATATCCTGAAGATGCCTTGCGTTGGTTGCCCATTTTCGCAGTGTCATGCCTGCAGATTTCAAAATCTCATTGGCTTGCTTATGTAGATCCGCAGCCTCTTCTATTGTTTTCGTTCCGAAGAGCAAGTCATCTACATAGAATGACCTTTGAAGAAGTCTTGAAGTATCCTTCATATCTCCTGTCACATTTTGTAAATGATGTTTCAGAGTAGCCGATGGAAGGAATGGGCTTGCCGATGTTCCAAATGGCTGCGTGTCATCCTCCATTCTTCAGTTGGTGGCTCTTTGTTTGACGTTTCAGACTTAGTGTCAAACCACAGAAAACGGAGTGCGTCACGATCCTCGGGTCTCACGCTCACTTGAAGAAAGGCCTTTTCTATGTCTGCTGTGAGAGCAAAAGGATACGTTCGAAAGCGTATTAGAACCTCGACTAGATCCGCGTTCATGTTGGGCCCCTTCCCTAGATGATCGTTCAGTGAAGCAGCTTCATTTGCATGGGACGACACGTCGAACACGACTCGCAGTTTTGTAGTTTCAGAGTTCATTCGGATCACTGCTTGGTGAGGCATATAGTAGGTGCATGAGTTTGTGCATGGTAGCTCTGAGGGAACCTTCTCCGCATGTCCATCATTAAGGTAGTATAGCGTTGCTATATTCTTTGGAGAGGGACTCGTTGCGTGATAGCCTCTTCTGCAATCCCTCGAGTCGTTTTATAGCAGTGGCTCGGTTATCATTTAGCTCCCCTGCGTTAGGTTTCCATGGCAAGCACACCTCATACCGTCCATTCACTTTTGCAATGGTTCGTTTGAAGTCGTTCCACACCTTGTTTTGTTCCTCACCTGAGCTGCATGCGTTGTCTGCTATTCCTATGCTTTCAATGTCCCAAAAGCTGCGTAAGGTCGCATCATCTACGGCTTCGATGGTTCCGATCTTTAGTAGACCATCGTGTTGGCGCGGCCAGTAAGCGAGCACTGCAGCGTTACGGGTCCTTGAAATGTCCATCCAAATTTAGTGTCTAAAGCCATCAAGCTGCAGTTGCTTTCACAACGTTGCGCCCGCTCACTGGCGACTTTCCAGATTTGGTCCGACCCAATGAGCAGGCTTATGCCTGGTTCAGTAGGAACGCCGGGGAAGAGAAGTTTCTCAGCGATGCAGCCTCTGTCTTCTTCAATGCTGCGGACAAACTTATGGTTTACAGGTATCTGAACAATGTCCTCGCATATAAATGGGATTTCTACCGCTTCAACGCTGCATTCTTCGTTGTTGTACTGACAACGCAGCTTCACTTGAACCAGCCTTCGTGTTTGCGGCAGTGAAGTAGAACTTCCAAAGGTGTTCAAGCATAGTCTGGTCTCTCCTAGCACCTTAAAGGGATACTTCAACGAAATTTGAAATATTCCCGTCGAGTTCAAAAATAGGTTGAATATGATCCACAATATCCGTAAATGACAATTGCATGTTTGTATTTTGATCCTGGTGGCTGTATTTTTCGCTATAAACGGCCCACTCTGGCAAGCGCTCGGAGAAGGCCCAGCTTAGAGCACGTGACATCGAACGCAATCGTGACGTAGGTGTCTCAAGACGAGCAAAGCTACGGCGAGGCTGACGTCGAGAGGATGGCCTAGTCGTTCCAGCCAACGAAGCGGCTGCTTTTGTACGAATTTTGAGTGACGGGTTAATCTTTTATAATCTTCTAGGGGGACAATTGCGAGTTCTGCGACACACAAAAGGGATTCTTGGGAAGAGGGGAGTTCCTCCTTCCCCCCTTCTCTCGTCGTGGCCGGAGACGAGACAACCTCCGTCACTAGCTGTCAGGGTTCCTAGACGAGCATTACAAACGAGGCGTTAGCGACATCCACCAGGTGCTCTTTGCTAATCGTTTAATTCGTTTTAAAATTCCTTTTCGAGACCTTTTTAACAAGATATTGGTATGTTTCATGTGATACTGCTCTTTTGAACACACATAGACCAAAAAATGAGCGCCGAAATTTCGTTGTAGTATCCCTTTAAGATTCAACTTGCGAGAAACGTCTTCTCGTATAAACGTTCGCTGACTTCCACCGTCTAAGATGGCACGTGCGTAGACAGTATTCCCATTCTCGACCACCCAGGTTCGAAAGGTCTGAAGTAGGACGTCGTCGTCTATCGAAATCTCAGTGCTAGCAGTGCCAGCGCTTTGAACGCTAGTCGTCATGGTTTGTGTTGCACTAGTGTTCGCTGAAGGCTTCCAGGTCGGGTCGCACATGGATGTTGCGTGCCGCCCCGCACAGGAAGTGCAAGACAATTTCCTGTGACAGTCCTTTGACCTATGCCCTCTTAGGGTGCACCGGAAACATTGCATTTCTCCTGAGAGTTTCTTCTTGTTCTCCATCAGAGAGATGCTACTGGTGCAGTTTTCCGTGCTGTGTCCTGTAGTTTTGCAAAAAATGCACTCCTTGTTATCTCGAGCTTTGGCGTGGAGAACCGCAGAAGTCGGAAGATGAGCTCGTTGATGTAGTTGCTCTCGATTTTTTCTTGGTGGACGATCATCTCTGACACCAGATCTTTCTCTACTCTCGATCTCGATTAGCAGATATTCGAGCAACTTCTGCAAATCTCCCTCCGCCCTTCTGCTGTTCAGTTGAACGTCCTCAGTTCGAGGTGTTGGTCTGGCGGACAGCTCAGCAGTTCTGGAAGTACCTGAGATTGACCCCAGTTCTGCTTGTAATGTGGGTGGAGATGAATGTGCAGCCACATCTCCCTGGTCCGGATGGATGGTCTTCCTTTCAGAATGGCCAGCATGTCGGTAGAAATCCACCACTATTTCAGATGGAAGAGCCTTGATGATAATGTCCATCAGCATGGTCGAGTAGCTGTCTGAGCTGACACCAAGTCCATGAAGACCGCGGATGTAGGTTTGCACCTGATCGTAAAGTCTCCTCAAACCCTTGGTGTTGTTTGAGTAGGTGACACTTGGAAGCGTTCGAAGCTTTGTAAGGTGGTCTTGCTGGATTCACCTGTAGTCTCCAAACTGTCTAGTTAAAATTTCAATCGCGTCGTTGTAGCACGCATCCGTCACTTGGAGACCAGCGATAGATGCCCTTGCGGGTCCACTAACCAGCGTCCTTAAGTATTGAAATTTCTCGCCGCTTGATAGCTCTCCGTTTTCGTGAACGGCACGCTTGAATTGTTGCCAAAATGGCTGCCACTCAGCAAGCTCGCCCTTAAAGGATTGCAGCTGCAACTTCGGTAGTTTAATACCGCTCCGTCTTCGTTCTTCGCTTCGCGAGGCAATTGCCGATGTTGATGGTCGCGCTGGTTCACCAGAACGTAGTTGCACTGCTCGACTTTGAAGCATGCTCAAGGTGTGGGTCGTTTCTTCCTCATACTCAATTACCGACTGGTATTCATTCTCGAGATCTCCATTAGCAATGAAGGGCTCGAGCTCGGTGTTTAGCTTCTTGAGTTCTTCATAATTTACCTCAAGCTTTCTTGCTATGGCCTCGATTTGAATTACATCCGCAGTGTTGAGAATAGCGGTGGCCTCTCTGACAATTCGGGTGTTTTGTGCTCTGCGAGCAGTCCTTTTCGTTCGCACCCTTTTCATGTTTGAATAAATCGAGAGGTTGGTAAGCTTCGGGTAATAGAGTTGCTTACTTGTTCCGATGTCGATCCAAATTTCCTTCGAGGTTAGTCCATGGCGTTCACTCGTTCGCTGCTCAGCAACTGACTTCATTTCGCTGAGGGTCGTTCCTGGCTTGAAGTCCCGGGTTTCGGCACCATTCAGTTGTTGCGTTAATTGAACGTCAAAGACTTGCGGTAAGAAACAAAATGGATTTGCTATTTACATGGCGAAGTTAATCTGCTGGTGTCGGTCATCGCAGTCGTTCCGTCCATCTTCTTCTTCGATCTGCCCCGAGCCCTAACCCCTTCTTTTCTTCCTCGTTTTCGTCAACCGCCCATTTACACGAGCACTGTACGGCTGTTTCCCGTGAGTAGGATGTGTCCAATTTACAATTTACAACAAGGTCATTGGGGTATATCAGGTGCTTGTTCAGGGTGACTTCGAATTACACTCAAAAGCTGTGTAACCAAGGATAGGATCGAAATTACCGATCACTAGAGAGCTGAAGGAACACCGTTCCCATGATTCTTTTAGTGCGGGCCGGGGCGCTTGAGAGATATAGCAGATGATCTATTGCTTTATCCGCCGACCTGTCGCGACCCCGGGTGTAATATTCTTACGAGTCGGTGGCGTTGACTGTTTCTAATTTTCCAGGAGCCACATGATCGTGCTGACAGACGATGGCTCCACTATCGTTTGCTGGCACCCCGAGCAGGAATTTCCTTACGAGCACACCAAGGTGACGCACGGCCATTCATGCTACCCCTTTTATTTCAGCGATGACCGCACACTTGTCAGAAAAGTAACCTTTCTGCAATTGTAGACACAGGAAACTTTTCTTTTTTTTTTAAATGAGTGATGCAACACGCAGGACATCGTGCACCTCAATCTCCTCGATGGAAAATGGCTATACACACGACGAGGCGAGCTCACGCCATTTAGTGGTGGATGTGTGGTCCCTGTTGTTGGGTACCAAACATTTCATTGAATAAGTAGACATTTCATTGAACGCGCTTTCATTGAATCGCTGGACGCAGTTTCATCAAATTTCACTTTATCGATTTTTGGAGTATTACTCTTGCTTCAGAGTTGTGTTCACGTTCTCACAAGAAATAGAATTTCCAAAGTTTTGTTACTGGATCATAGAACATAACAAAAATAAAATGAGTGTGCGACTTACTGTTTTCAGCTAAGATAAGTGGCTGTACTATACCACATACTTTGTTCCCTAGCTGTTCACGCACAAAAGGTACATCCCAAAAGGAATATAACTGTTCTTCTCTGCTCCTTTTTGTAGCGTGAGCTACACTGGCTGAGGTTGAGCAGTTTCGCGTGGCTGTCAAAGAGCCGTGCTGCCTAAGCGCGAGGAGCAGTGACGTCGCACGGCGCACCGGAGCCGCCGCTGCCGCGTGCGCCTCGCCGGTCTGTGCATGCACGAGGAGCAGTGACGTCACACGGCGCACAGCTGGCGCGCCAAAGCCGCCGCCGCCGCTGCGCGCGCCTCGCCGGTCTGCTTATTCCAATGGAGTGACGTCGGAGCCGCGGCAGGCACACTGGCGCCGCCGCGTGCCCAGCTGTGCGCCTCCGTTGCGCAGTAGGCAAGTCTGACGCTGCACCGGAGCCACTTAATAGCGCCTCTCATTTTGTGCGCATAAGCTCACGCTACGTATATCCTGGCATAGTGGAGTGAAGCCACCGCAATTTTTTTATTTAGTGTTTATCTATTTACTTGTGTTTTCATTCCATACTAGGGCAGTAGCTTCCCTTCTAAGAACGTAGGTTGAAAATTCGGCAGATTCACGGTTCTGCCGATTACAGAAAAATAAACAGGGGAGATGCATCTTTTTGTCTTTTTCATGCAACATGGAGTTATGTCATTGCTTCAAGAATACCTTCGTGCTTGAAACAATGTTTCCTCAAGGACGAGGATTCACCCTTGAAGGGACATACCTTCGTCACTGCCAGCAGCCGTGCCACCGCACCCTATGACCATAGGTTTCGTAAGATGTTAAAGTGATGTTCCCGTTTATTTTTGGTCACATTAGCAGCACAGGTCATGAGTTACTATAGAACAAAAATTAGAAATAGAAGGGATAGCAGAGGAAATAGTTTTTTTATTATTAGTTCCCCTCTCTGTAGGGAAAGAAAGGTCTACCATCCTTCTGGTGTTATGAAAAAACTATTTCTTATATTATATGCAAAATTTCTACTGCTCAACTAGGTGGTATTCAATGAAACGGCGTTTTATGAAATGGTGCTCTGCGAAACGACTTCAATGAAGCGGTGTTCAATGAAATGTTTGGACCGAAATATTGTTTCGTCAAAACACATGTAATGGACAACTTTTCGTGGACACATGCTTTATAGACACACTTTGACGACAAATATTTTTTCTCAATGTGCATAGTCATATTTGTAAGCTACTAAAAACTAGTGCATGATTCACTGAGGCGTGTTTACCCAAGCCTTGGGTAAACACGCCTCCCTTCTGTCTCCCGTAAACACTCCTCCCTTCTGTCTCCCGTAAACCAGGCAAGACACAAAAACTTTGCGTCGTGCATATAGCTATTTTTGGTCGTGGTGCATGGTGTCTGCACATAGCACTGCTCTTTCTAAGTGAAGAAGGCATTCAGCAGCAAGTGTATGAAGCCATATTTTTAAGATAGTAGACCCAAGAAAAGCGCTTTCCGAACAGCCTACTACGGTCTGGAGTAGAGTTGCTTGGATCATTCAGTGTTAACTCTTGCCTTGGACACTATACTTACCGGTCAGTGGTTAATGGGACAATGATATCTGCTCATGCCTCTACTGAGCAGGAAAAACTAGCTGCTTAGTGAGACTTGGCATGTGTGTGCATAGAAAATTTCCAGAAAGAGCTCTGCTTAGACCTTAAAATGGCCCAAAGAAATGCTGAGTGGTTTTTTGGAGCGCCCTGATCGAAAATACCTGCCATGGTTCATCTTAGGCAAGGGTCGAGAACTGAATTTCACTGCAAACCTTGAGCCGAGAAGTTTTTGCTAAAAGTTACCTTTACGTGCCCCTCCCCAAATTTTGAGGACTTAATAGAACACTGTCGCAGTGCTCGTGTTGCATGATTCTAATAGGAGTCCTGTGCCATTCGGGTAATGGAAAATTTAGCTCGTGTATGCAGTTCCTTGCATTTTTTATGTGGGATCAACTGAGTCTCTGGTTTTCATCTCTGCATTCGTTTAAATTCCAACCCTCATAATTAGAGCCGAGATTTCCGGGACAGAATTAGTGCTGAAATTGGGACTAAATAGGGACAGGAATTGCCGAAGCTTCGGTCCACTTCCCGAGACAATGTGCTCTTATGTGAGTGCGCTCAGAGTGTTTATTAGTGTTAGAATATGTATTCTATTTATTATTCCAAAACACACGTTCTAATCTCGTGCATTGAAGGAAGGAATGGAACGAATCCTTAAAGTTTCGAGAACGGTTGCTTCACTTTCACAGAGACAAGCGGCAAAAACTTGAGGGCTTGTTTGGAGTCATGAACGCCATTTGGAGTTTTTTGTGAACGTACCACTCTATGTCAGGGTTTTCTTGAAGTGACTTACAAAGTTTGTCTTTCGCAGAGCCGTCCAGCAACAATGCGCCAACAGTAGTGCGTGCATAAACAGTAATGCGTCGCCGTAAGTCATTGCAGACCGATTGCGCGCGGTTCTTTCTGGTGCAGACCCGCCGGCAGCAACCATTAGGAGTGTGTGTGGCACTATCGGTTGGTGGTGGTGTATATCCATTGCTTTAGAAGGCAGGGAAGGAAGCCGGCTCATCTAGAGCAGCGCATGCAGTTCATATGCTGTTTGAACTGTTGGCGAAAGAATGCCACGCTGGTTCTTTGCCGATGCAAAATGTTATCAATGGTTGAAAGGCACATTGCATACAGGCGTCTCAGTTCAGTAACTGGAGACTTAATGGAAAATCGGGACACTCAACATAAAATCGGGACAATTCAGTACAACACAGGTGACGAAAACCAAAAGGAAATTTCTTCATATATGTGTACTGGTAGTTGAGGACACTTCTAAATCGGGACATGTCCCGGAAATCTCAGCTTTACTCATGATAAAACATAACCCCAGAGTAGCTGCTGATGCTTTGCTAGGAGGTTTAGCCTTGAAGATGACTCCTTAGTTAGACACCTGCCACCCTGATACTTTGAAAAGGCTCCTTTTCAAACCGATGAGAGTAAACAACAGCACATCGCACAGACAAGCATTTCTTATTCTTAGAACAGACTCGTACTGAAATATATGTATGGCGCTCCTAGCTGCTTAGTTCCTCGCCTTGTCAGCTATTCTTTAATCAATTTTAAAACTTTGTACTGAAATGACTGTTTTCTCTCTTGCCTTGCAGCCACTTCCCAGAGTTGACCCTAAGTTGAATGAGGTATGTATTGAAACTGTCTTGTGAATTTTAAAGTGCCTTCAAAGCACACTAAAATTTTTCCTGAATCGGAGGTGCAAGCAGCTTTATAACTTTCTCTGAATTGGTAAAAAAGGGCTTAATCGGCTTGTCCCACCCAAATATAGACACGTGAGATAAAAAATGGGCTTGCCCGTTCACTTCTAAGCTCTTGTTCATTCTGAAGGAGCATTAAAAGTAGGATCTTCTGTTGAATCTCAAGGGCACAAGATGATGCCTTATTCCCCTTGTGTTGTGGAGGCAGCTGCCAGTGAACTCTAATGAAAACAGTTCTTCAGACAGAGTTTTTGTCTTTGGAGCATAAGTATAGAGCTTATACTCAGTTTTATATGGATGAAGCAAAAACAATCTCCTTTGTAAGCTGTGTCATGCATTCAGTTTGCTTCAGAATAGCTAGAAAGCTCAACTGTTGCCAGCATTTTTGCTGCTGAGATGTATGGCATATTGATGACTGTATAGCTTATACTTGAGAATGATACTGTCAAGACCGGTTATAACGAAGTCAACGGGAATCGGAAATCGCTTCGCTATATCCGCTTCTTCGTTGTATATAGACTCGTACAAGTAACATGGAAAAAAAAAGATAACACTGGTTGTCACAAGCACCTGTTTATCTAGCCTGCAGAAAGTGGTCGAGTTTTCCCTGCACGCATCCTCTGCTAGATCAAAGCCGCTTCTCGCCAACTGCGAGAAGTTCCGATCAAAAAAAGATGCTGCTACGTACGGACCGTGTTGACAGCTGCGATGGCCCCGCGGAGGACGCTGGCAGTAGACGGCATTTTTATGTTATTGCGCACTCCGTCGAGGATGGCACACTTTTGATTCAGGGAGATTGCTTTTGTGTTCCCTGTCGAGCTGCTGGCGGTGCCGGGACTCTCCATCGTTGAGTGGCGATTCTTCGCCGAATGAGTGCTTGAGCCAAGTAGACTTTCATGCAAAAGCGACCTCACTGACCAGACGCTGACACGGATCACGAAACATACAAAGAAGCGTGCATGGCATCGAGTTAGCACTCAAGCTTGTCTGTTGTCAATATAGAGAGCCTAGATTTAAGAGATGGGGCAGCTGCTCGATCGCGGTCCCGTGGTTTGTGGGACCCCGATTAACGAAGATTAACGAAAGCGTTAATCTTCTGCAAACGTGTCCGCCTTTCCGCCCAGTTTCCTCGCCACACTGGCCACGCGACAATCAAATGCAGGCACACTTACTGCTCCCTCTCTTAAACCTAGGCTCTCTCCGTCACCTCCGCCGGTACGTTGTCGCTAGCGCTCCGAATGCCCCTATTGGCATGCCCCGACGGCTTCAAAAGCGTGCGATGCGGTCAAGCCGCTTGCCAGATGAGGAGCGGGGAGCAGACACGTTGCAGAGACTGCCGCTGGCGGCTTTTCTGGCATCTTCTGCAGCCTCTTCTGGGCAACTTCTTGGCCGCAGCAGCAAAGGGCGGCAGTCCGAGACTTCATAAACTTTCCGAATTCTGTTCTTTTTTTAAATGATCACAAAATTTCTCTTCGCTATATCTGCAAGAGCTGCTCAATTTCCTTTGCTAAAAATGGGCACAAATGCATTGAAAAAGTGGAAATGGGAAATTTTGATCACTTTGCTGTTAGCCACTATTTCGTTATAACCGACTTCATTATAACCAATGTCGACACAATAAGAAAAACTTATATTTGTAGATCCCAAAGTGCTCTTCTGGCTGTCTCCTCTCTTAAACCTATGTAGAATCTCTTAAAGGTGCACTTTCTTGGTGATAACTCATTCTACGGGATCGCAGCATCCCAGAAATCGAAAAATTACGCTTGTGCGACGCCTATTTCCCTACTAAAGATGTGATCGAAGTTCGTGCCACATCCTTTCTGTGCAGAAAAATCTGGAGCGCAGAATTCAGTGGAGGCGCAGGCGGTGTGATGACGGGCATGCTTCAGCTGGATTCTGTGCTCCAGATTTTTCCGCTCAGAAAGGGGCATGGCACAAACTTCGATCACATTTTTAGTAGGGAAATAGACGTCGCACAAGTATCATTTTTGGATTTCTAGGATGCTCAGAGCCCGTAAGATCAGTTATCACCAAGGACAGACAATCTCAGAAACGTCTTTAGTGCACCTTTAACACAGCTTCTATGTGTAAAACTTCGGGCTCTCCAGCTCGAACAAGCCGTCAAATTTTGCTGGGCACCGAGCCTGAGGGGCATTAGAGAAAATAAAGCAGATAAACTGGCTGCATCTGCGAAGGATTCTACAAAAGCCTCCTTTGGCCTGCCCCACCAGGATTATAAGTGACTATTTAAGAAATCAACCTTTAACTCGTAGCAGCTGGAATGGGATGTCAAAAAAGAAAACAATCTTTACATTGTCAAACAAATCTTGGGAATTTGGGAGAACTCCTTTCAAAGAGTCCGTCGCCTTGAAGTTCTTTGCTGCCTGTGAATTGGCCGTTCCCACTTGACACACCACTACATTCTGTGGCGAGGACGCAAAATTGTGTGACTACTGCTGGGTAGTTTTGACTAGTTTGCAAATTTTGTGGCATTGTAGCTTTTATCATGATCGAAGTCAATCATGCTTTCCAGAGCTTTTTAAGGAACATCTTGCATTTCATCCCAAGGTTTTGCTTGGTAATGAGCCTTTAGTATCGTTCATTCATATTTTAGATTATCGTTAAAATTTGGCATATCACACCAGTTACAATTTTTTAACATTGTCATTGCATTGCTATTCTTGACTGTCCTAAATTAGTTTCACTTGGTGATATACGGCCTCAGTAGCTTTTGTGCCATTAAACCTGTAATCAACAACTCTATGGAAAGCAATACTTGGTTTATACTTTTGGCTGTGGAAATGAACAGTTGGAACAAACTATCTTGCATATTTACTTTTCTTCAGGGTTTTATATTCCATTGGTACTCTTTTTGGACAGAGTTAAAATTCTGTTTAGTTACCTTTCATGCTGCATGAAGCTTGGGCATTTTCTTTTGTTCAGGCTTTTGACAGGTTTTTGAAATGAAAGCCTGTTACTGTAAGGAATATTCACCTGGAATCAATAGCGTGCCTAAATTTGAAGACTAAATTAGTATTTTAATAAAGGCAGGAGGGAAAACCTCTTTTCCTCTAGGCTAGACCAGAATGCCATGGATAGACATACTCCTGTTTCACATAGATGTGCCTTTTAATTGCAATGGAAGATTGTATTGTTATGCGGTTAATATCAGCAGACTATTCCTCGTTAAAGGGCAACTCCACTCCATTTTTACAATTTTTTGGGTTATGGTCGTTTAGTCGGTGACCCTGAGACACGAGATAGAATTTGTTTTTCTGTAGTGTGTATAGTTTTGTAGATATCGCGGATCCAAGTATCGTTCCGGCGGCACGGCGAAACCGAAACTACCGGCTGAAGCAGCTTGGCAACACTGATATTAGTGGCACGTCGTCGGCACGACCAAGTTCTCGCCCCGCGCTCCTGAGCCGACGCACCGACAATGTCGGCTCAATCGCACGTGGAGTTTCAAAACAGAAGGGAAGTTGCACATTTTCTTTTTTACCGCTTCACTATGTTAATATGCACCAAAGGTAGTAAGGTTTAGTGTGTATTTATAAATTTGCGGGCCGAAAAGCGAATTTGACTGCCATAAATATGACGCGGTCAGTGCCGGCGCAGCGTGACTGTATTTGTTTCTTGCTTGCAGACAGAGAAAAAGAAATAATGGGAGATAGATGGACAGATGTATCCACAAGCGGTCCAAGTTGCGAAAGCTAAGGTGCCTTTATGTGCACGCTAGTTAGATCAGCCGCGACCTGCTGCGTCCGGCCGATCGTGCTGGAGCAGCCGGCGGACGGTATCTGAACAGCGACGGCACCACATCGTTCATCAAAGACCCGTGTTTTGTGGAGAAACCCGCAACAGTCAGCAGCTGCAGATCCCGTGTGTAGGTGTCTGACGTTAAGTCCTGGGGGCAGAGCTACGCGTTGGAGCTCGGAGTCGACGGTCTTTCGAAGTCTATCCGGCGAACGGGACCGACCCACACCTTGTGCCTCTTCCGGTCTCTTGGGAACTGGTAGAACCGACGCTCCAGGTTGTGCACCGGATTGTTGGTGCAACCCACAGCTTTACAAGTCGTGCTCGACATTGCCCAACGCGAGTCCGGCAAGTCTCTCGGGCTCCACGACACGCGTGTGAGCGAGCAGCACCTTCTTCGCTCTCTTTCACGCTGTCGCTGGAGCAGTGCTGGAGTTAAAGGAACTGCCTAGACGCTAATAAAAATAGAGGAACACAGGATAATGTGGTGAGCACCTCTTGCCGTCTGCAGGATCACAGAATGCCATGGGAAACGAAGCGTCCGCGGCGTCCCTGCGAGAGCGTAGCACTAAACCTACGTCATTGCCCAGTGTTGCTTCACTAGCTCACCAGGTGCCAGCGTTGCTCACCCGCTGTCTGGCCGCTAACCGAGCCGGGAGAACATTTTAAATATTGGTTTTAATCGGTAATGCGGCGTCGGTTTGGTGATATTTTGGGTATGACCATATTTTGACCCCCTAAAGCGATATCAGTCATTTCGATAGGGTCGACTTTTTGAGTGGAGTTGCCCTTTAATAATGGCCCGTAATGACCAAGTACTTCTCAGGTCACATTCCCGGTACTGTAGCTCTGAAAAGTTTCTCAAATCTCTTTTGTCCCTACCTGGTTGTTTGGCTCTCACTTATGGGTTGTCTCGGGCACTCAGCTGTGTTGTGGTAGCGTGCCACTACAAATATTAATATAGTTTATTATTGTCGCCATTATTTTTCGTGAGCTCTAAATTATTCTTTTTAAATGTACCATTTTTTGTCGTCACTAGTTCGAGAAGCCCTCCACTTAAACTTTGCTGCATTAAATCGTCTAGCGTTGCGGCGCTCACAAAACACTGCCCTTGGGGGTGTAGAGGGTTGGCACCTAGGCTCTCTCTTCGTAGGTTAGACCCTTGTATTTGCATGCACCTGAGACTTGCGAGGCTCGATCATAGTCGTCTCCAAAGAGAACAATCTTTGCGTCTTTTGGATGTGCCCTACCAGGGAGACTCTGCACTGAAGCTTCAAGTGCGCCTGGACAACATCAACCGCAGCTACAGAAACGAGAGGCTCGAAATAGAGGCGCTCACCAAGCTCACCTATACCACAAAGCATCGCTGGTATCCAAAGTGGGTGTACCTCTCATGTTGCACCACTCTGCTTCCGAGCTGTTGTGTCATGTGCTGTTTGATTGTACTTTAGCACTGCCATTGGCTCAACCTTTTTGAGCGACTCTGCAACTACTGCATGCTGCTTCTGTGATGAGGTCTGATTATCTGGTCGGGGAATGTCCACCACCACCATAATTTAAGGACTGCTTTTGCGGAGTGTCCTTAGAAAGCCATATTTGTTCTATGGGGGTTACGGTATGGACGGTGGGAAGCTAGAGTGCTTAAAAGGTGCCCGGGTAAGTCTTCTGGTAGCCGCCTCGGTGGCTCCGAGGCGAGAGCGCCGGCCTATGGATCCCCAGGTGGCGGGTTCGAATCCCGACCGAGGTGCCCGCAATATGACGGAGGCTTATTGCGGAGAAGGCGCCGTGGTAACCGAGCTTTCGGTTGCACGTCAAAAGATCCCCAGGTGGTCGAAATTAATCCTCAGTCCTCCGCTGGGGCGTGCCAGATGCCCGTCGTATGTTTGGCACGTAAAACCCCCAAATTTGTTAAGTCTTCTGGAGGTACGCAATTTGGCCAGTCTGGTATGGCTGCTATTCTGGGATCTTGAACATGCATCACACAGTAGTTATTTCGATATTTTCTGTGCTATGGTCCGCACCCTGCGAATAGCCCGCGAGGGCAAATTTTGGCTCAAAAAGAACAGTTTTTCTTTAGGTAGTCGACTTGTGGTGTGGGATCTGCACTAGTTGTCTACTTCATTCATGTCTTACTTCTGTTAAAAATGACAAGTTTCCAAAAAATTGGCACTCTGTGCCAACTAATAGAACAGTATGAATGTAAGTTCATCTTCATTTATGGTTTTTATAACTCATGTTGCTTTAGAAAAAAAAAAACGAAGAAGGGCATGGGTGCTCTTCTTTATTTTGGAAGTATCGGCCATGGGGGGGGGAAGGGGGGGTGGGATTCTTGAGGACTCTACAGTCACTTGTTCACCTGTAATAAAACTCGTAACAACCCCAAGCAGTGGGGGCTTAGCAATCAAGATCATGGTTGATCCGTCTGCGTGGGCGCAGCTCCCTCGCGCATCACCCGCGGGGGTACTGAGAGTGTAAGATGTACACTGGCATTCTCAGTTTGTTGAGTAATGGCCAACGTGAAGCAGCATTTTCTTGACAACTGTGCTGGTTAACAGTTGCACTGATAAGCAGTTTTAAAAAAGGAATCTTTTTATTGTCTGCACCCTTTGATGGTCTGCGCAGCTTTTAAACATGTATAGTCTGCAGGCCATAGACCAGGGGTGGCCAAGCTGTGGCTCGCGAGCCACATGCGGCTCTTCGTGTGTGAAAGTGCGGCTCGCGGCTCCATCCCCTACACCCACCCCCACCCCCACCCCCACCCCCACCCCCACCCCCACCACTGCCCTGCCTCCTTCCCGGTCACACGAGCTCTTCTCCAAAAAGACAAATGGAAAACGGTTTAAGTCGAAAGACAAGTTGCGGTTTGGTAGTCTTGCGCTACTGCTACCTTAGTACAGTTGGACTGCTTTAGACTTGGATAGATCAAAAGTAGTTAGAGTTTCGTTTATTGCTCTAGACCAGGGGTTGCCAGCTGACCCGGCCTAAGAGCCGCACACAAAACCATGAAGCTTCTAAGATCTGCCGGGGGGGGGGGGGGGGGGGGGGGGAGGAGGGAGGAGGAGGAGGAGGAGGAGGAGGAGGAGGAGGAGGAGGAGGAGGAGGAGGAGGAGGAGGAGGAGGAGGAGGAGGAGGGAGGAAGGAGGGAGGGAGGGAGGGAGGGAGGGAGGGAGGGAGGGGGAGGAGGGGAGGGGGGGGGGGCAAATTTTTGTCTAGAGCAATGAACGAAACTTGAACTACTTTAAATCTATCCGAGTCCAAAGCAGTCCAACTGTGCTAAGGTAGCAGTAGCGCAAGACTACCAAACCGCAACTTGTCTTTCGATTTAAAACATTTTCCATTTGTCTTTCTGGAGAAAAGCTCGTGTGACCGGGAAGGAGGCAGGGCAGTGGTGGGGGGGGGGGGTGTAGGGGAGGGAGTTGCAAGCCGCACTTTCACACGCGAAGAGCTGCGGCTTGGCCGCTCCTGCTCTAGTCAAAAGTTTGCCCCCCCCCCCCAGCGGCTTTTAGAAACTTTGTGGTTTTGTGTGCGGCTCTTAGGCCGGGTCAGCCTGGCCACCCTTGCCATAGAGCATAAAAAACAGTAGATAACTGCTTGCCAAGCATGTTTAGAAAGAGCAAGAGGCACTTGAATGATGTCAAGCCTTAGCATGGAGTCAATCTGTTTGTGGTCAGAACCTTTGCACCATAAAAATCCAGACCTTTTTTTATGAAATATGGAAGAATGAATGCAAGAAATGTTTGGGAACAAGAAATGTCAAAAAGCAAAGAATTAAGAAAAGGATGAAGCATGTTTTTAAGTTGCCTGCAACCTTGTATGTTATTGCTGCCTTTATTCCTTACTGTTAACATATTTATGACTTGATAATCTGACTTTCTGTTCCTGGTCCTTGGGCTTTAATCGCTGGTAGACTTCAAAGAAATCTACTAAGTAGGGGCTGATCATCAATAGCAGTGCTTTTCAAATGGAGGTCTACGGACTTTTTAGGGTCCCTGAAGGCCTTCTCAGGATGTGCGAAGCCCTCGATCGTCAGTTGAGCCGAACAATGTTACTTTTTTTAATTTATGCTAGCTGTCCACAAAAACTAAATAGACCATCTAGGTGCACAGAATGTGTAGGGTTGATTATTTCCCGTTTCAGAGTTTCAAAATTGGTGTGTGTGCATTTAATTTTCTTCATTCACCCTTCTGTCCTTGGAATCGTCAAAAACCGCCCTTCCCCGTGGTAGATGGAGTCCCGCATCACTTCCACCGATCCAGAAGGGGTCACCGAAGCATTGGTTCTATAGTATTCCGTGTTTCGTCACTGCACATGCTGCAACTATGTTAGCTTAATAAGAGTTTCCCAAGCTCTTGTCTTATACTTCGTTTCAGCTTCGGTCCAGACGCAGCCAAAGCTACAAGCGCGAGCTCCGGGCTTTCAGCATCCCTGCCAAGCACGCGCGCTCGTGCAGTGCAAGCACTGTTCTGGGCCAGATGCTCGCGCTTGTAGCATCGGCTGCGTCTGGACCGAGGCTGAAACGAAGTATAGACCCAATGATGGAATGCACATATCGTTTTCTCCTTCCAGGAACGAAAAGTACAAGGACCCAAACCCTCCAGTCGACCGAGAAGGTTTATAGTATGGTGAGTTGTACTTACCTATGGCCTGTTGCGGGTTTAAACTAGCAGGACGAAGTTTCCTCCTCTCTGGTGCTTGCTCTGCTATAATGGAAAGGGTAGAAAGATCCTGGTGCGAGGAGCTTTTGCTACATTTCTAATGTTGAGACAAACCATACATACAGTCAAACCTCGATGTAACAAACTTCTATGTAACGAAACCCTCGATGTAACGAAGTACATAACCTTTTCTAACCGCAAGTGTATGACGCCATGTATTTTTGACCTCTATGTAACGAAGTCTCGTTCGCCGAAATTTCAATGTAACGAAGTTTCATGGACAATTCGTCACAAATGTTAGGGTCCCAAAGGAGATTTTGGGAAGCACATGCGCTGAAACGGGCCCCTGATAAAGCACAAAAGATGAAACGGGCCGAATCTGGTGAGTGTGGTGTATAGAACGGCCACCAGAGGAGACTAGAGCCGCCGCCGTTTCGTCCGTCGGCTTCGTTCGCGCTGCCTAGTTCGTTTTGAGGCCTAACTAAAAGCGTGCGTTTCTTGTTCTGGGTGATGGAGCTTTGAAGGCGATGGAGCCGCCCCCGACAACGTCAACCTACACAACCTTCTGTAAGCTGACGCTGCTGTCATTGCAACGGAGGAAAGGACCAACGAGGCGATAGCTAGCGATGTTCGTGGGAACTCTGAAGACGGGGACGACATCGAGCCTGATGAGCAAGACACCTGCTATGTGCCCAGTAACCGCGAGGTGGTGGACGCGATTAATGTTTTGAGGCGGTTCACGAGCACACAGCAAGACGAAGACGCGATGCAGGCCGTCTGGCAATGCGAATGTCGTGTGATGCCAATAATAATTCCAAAAGTGGCCCAGATTAAGGTGACGGACTACTTCCAACCAAAATAAAGGCGTCCTCGGTGAGTTTTGTGCACCCGAGAAACATTTGTGGAAACTTTCTTCTAACGTTAGCCCCGAATTTCTATGGAGCAAAATTTCGATGTAACGGAGTAAATTCCGAATTTTACCGACTTCATTACATCGAGGTTTGACTGTATTAGCACTTTACCGGCCACATATCAAACCTTACTGGCGTTACTTCTAAATGAACGTCCAAAACTTGGGCCAACTTAGGCAGAGTCTTAAAGTTGTACATCAAAAAAGATGAATAAAATAAACATGCTGGCCACCGATTCAGTGGGAGTGTCAGACTGGACAGTCTCCATCGGGGAAAAGTACACGTTGCATAACCAAGCCTAATAGTCCTTTCAATGTTCAGCGTGGGTGCCGAATACTCGACGAAAGTTCATTGCACCATAGTGCGGTGCAGTTGATATTTTGTTGGTGCGTGAAAATTCTCTGGTCTACGTTAATGCTAGTTTTTTTAGGCCATTCTGGATGCTCTTTGTTGGTTTGACACCTGGGCCTCTAAAACCTTCCGTTAATGTGCACTACCAAGGGGGTTTCATAGTGATGTTCTACAGATCATCCCAAATAATCACGTTTAAAATGTTTAAATTGACGTTTCAAATGTTGCAATAAAAATCCACATTGTTTCAGTTTGAAATTTGCTGGGCTTTATCAAAAGCCACTTGTGTGGTCTTTGCCACCCCGGAAAAGAAGAGTGTTTCTGCTGTGCTTTGCTGCAGACTGCGTAAAAATGCTATAGCATTGTTCGTCTTCTATAAAGACACGCCTTCGTGATGGTTGCCTTTTATCGGCTTCATAATGGCTCCTTCTGCTGTGATGCAAGGTCGTGACAGAATTAACTTGCCTTGCTTTTCTATCCCTGGCCAAACGTCTTTCCCTTTCCTCCGCCGCCTTTCCGGCACTTTGAGCGTGGTCATATTTAGTATGTCGCTGCCTCCATCCAGTTGTCTCCTCTTTGGTCAGCATGTTTCTCTTGCGAGGCATTGTGAAGGCTGCGGCACATTCAGTGATAAGGAGAAAAATATCTTACTCTTCCACGACCCATGGATGCGTTTTGATGTGACGGCCAGAATTTGTGAGAAAGGAAGGGTGGGGTTCTCATTTGTAAAAATACTACCACATTAAAACAAAAGTTAGTTTTGCACATAGTTCACACACTGTGCAAAGCAGTTCTTACAACACCTGACTCTCTGAGAAAGACCTACGCTTTTTTGCATTTGCAATATGTGCATTTTTGTAAAATAATGAATAACTGATCAATAATGCATGTACAAGGGATCCAAAATTTATTTACTGCAGTTCTTGAGGTGAAAATGAATACTACATGTGCAGCATTCTGAGAAAGCTTTAAAGCATTGGGCTAGTTTTTCTGCAGTTTAAAGCAACGTACAATTGCAACTTACCTTGCAGGTCTCTTTTTTGTATCAGCTCGCTCTGTGCGTTGTTGGCCCTGCATTCATATGACAAGAGCACAACTATAGCTGCAGCCTTTCGATGAAATAGCCAGAAAGAGATGAAGCATAAGCCTTGAACGGAGATGCAGTATGCTGTGGTTGTGCGAGCACAGGGTTACTGTCGTGGAGCTGTTGCCACTATAGATTGAGAAAACTGTCTAAACTATGCTGGTCATGATGAATTTCGTTGCTCCAAATTGTGCTCACCAAATTTTTAATTGAAACTTATATTAAGTAAATGCATATTTATTCTGAACATTCTTTCCATTAACCACTGACTGACAGTGAGAACCATGGAGATATCATTATCTATTGCATGGCACGCTATATGTAATTTTGAAAAAGGTTTGGTTCTTGTTTTTACAATGTTTCACTTTGAAAGGAAAGATAACCTTGTACACATGTGGCATACTATACTCCATTTCGCAGTATGATGAACCACTGCAACAAATACTTCGAGCAACCGGAGCCAATGCATAGCTTAGAGCGTGTCACTTGGGTTGGAGCGACACACGGAGCGTGAAGTCAGGTGGCACGCAAGGAGTGTTGGATAGGCTAAGATGGCTCGTAGCATAAAGCCTTGAAAGCTACACTTATGCGGTTCATCCAGGTGAGTTATACGGCCACGGGGACATAGTATATGCGGTTCATCGTAACGATTATTGGGCTAATGAAGTCTAATTTGGTAATTTTTAATTAGTGAAAATAGATATATGGTTCCAATTAAAAACTTGTTACGGAACATCGAAAAGCAACAAATCAACTCTTTAGGAGGATATAAGACAGGTGCAGCATTTTATGGCGTTCTGAAGAAAATGCTCAATCGGGACATTTCGGACGCGTTTCTAGGTTTCTGTTTCTTATCAAAGTGCATATTTGTGCCCGCGGTCCTGCTCCCCGGTGGTCGTGGCACAAAGCCACCTCCTTGTCTCCTTCGTAGAATGGAGGGGGAATGGAGGGGGGGGGGTAGAATGGAGAAGGGGGGGGCATGTCTGTTACGCTTCTCAGCAACTGGGGAGCAGGACCACGGGCACAGAGATGCGCTGCGATAAGAAACAGAAATCTAGAAATGCGTCCAAATAGAGTGCTTTTACGGAACACCATAAAATTCTGCCCCTGCATTATGTCCTTCTAAAAATAGTTGATTTAGTGGTTTTTGATGATGCTCAGCAAGTTTCTAATTGAAACCATATGTCTATTTTCACTAATTTAAAGGTAATTAATAAATTTCACCTAATTAGCCGACTGATTGTTACGATGAGCCCCCTATAGTACGTACCCCCGACCTTATAATTCACCCGCACAAACCGCATAAGTGTAACTTTTTTTAAACAAATCTGTAAAGCTTTAAAAAAAATAAAAAATAAAAAACTCCCTGTGTACAGAGCTAATTCGTTGCGGTATTTGCTTTCCAGTGGCCATTGCAGCATAGCAAGACCAATCATCGTTTCTGACCAGATAGGTGCTGTAAACCCTGCAGTAGCATCAGTCTAGAGAAGAAAGGAATTTCAGAGTGGCCAGTGACATCGGCATTGCCGTTTCTAGATTTGAAAGTGAAATCCACTTCCTGTAGCAATAAAGAAGGTTGGTCATTGCCCTTGGCACTTTTTGGCTCTTTATTTTCGGCTCTTCTTCAATTCTCGCGTGGGTTAGCGACGCCTCTAACTTAGATGACCACAGGGATGGAGGTCATCATTCTAAAGTTGATTGGACCAGTCATTAGGCAGACTTGCAGTGCTCCTTCATCCATGTAAGACTTAAAACAGCACTAAAGTGCTCTCTGAGATCCTTGTTTTATGGCCATAACTCAATCTACGAGCTCCAAGCATCCTAACAAAAAAAATTACATACATGCACGACCGATTTGCATATTAAAAAAGCGTTGAAAGTCCCCGACACTTACCATTGGCCCAAAACGACAGATGACGTTACCAACTTACCACCGTGCCAAATATGGTCAAACGACGGACAGCACTTGTCAGCCACTCGCGAGCGATGGGTTCCTGCGCGGACGAGCGGGACTAGTCGGCCGCTCGTTTGCGCAGGAACCCATCGCTCGTGACTGGCTGACAAGTGCCGTCCGTCGTTTGACCATATTTGGCACGATGGTAACACGATCTGTTGTTCTGGGCCAACGGTAAGTGTCGGAAGCCTTCAGCACTTCTTTCAATATGAAAATCGGCCGCGCATGTATGTAATTTCGTTTTTTTTTAGGATGCTTAGAGCTCGTAGATTGAATTACGACAATAAAACGAGGATCTCAAAAGGCATTTTAATGCCTCTTTGTTTGTATGCACCAAAGCGAGAAGTCGACCTGCCAAGTTACATGTGCTATTGAATGTTGCACTCAAGATGCATGCAACGGTATTCTAAACTAACAAGGACACGGCGTCTTTTTTTTTTTTTTTTATTAGACATAACCATCAAAGAACTACCCCATAACAGGAGCATACAGTCGTGGACAAAAAGATGACATTTTGTTTCTTCAGACCGAACACTTAACTCGCATCTAACAACTTACCACTAATATTATTAATATTGTCACGGGTGGTGACCAAAAAAACAATAAATAAACAGAAAGAAATAAACGTTTAATGTGACGAACTTGTGCCAAAAATAAAAGAGTACAAAAGATAATAATAGAGCGTCGCGGGCGTCGAAGTCGGCGTAACAGCAGAGTCGAACGCTGGGGCGAAACTGGCTGAGCGATAGCTGTTATGAGGTCTTCCCAGCACTGGAAAATGATGTCCGTTGTTCTAGTTGACGTTGAGGACCTGGACGCTGGACGGGCATCCAGATCCGCATGACAAACTGCCATCCTACATCTCCAAATAGCATGCAGGCCCAGTAAAAATACGAGATCATATGGGAAGCACGTCCTCTCATAGGCAAAAAACACATCCTGCGAGCCGTCGGCAGATCTTTTTTGAGCACGTCCAAGAACAGGATATCATCCCAGCAGCCCAGGAACACCTACTCCACGGTCTTCGAAGTTCAGTCTCTTGCACAAAAAACAGTAATCGTCTTATTGTACAAACATGCCAATCTGTTAGTGTGCAGATAAAAAAAAAAAAGAAATGACCGCATCTTTACGTGGTGAATGATGTTGATTGGGGCGAAGCTCTGGTCGTGCTGATGATACTGATTTTATTGTTCATAGGTAGTGCTGATGGTGCATACGCATTTGAGCATTTGACCGCAGCGCCCTCTCGTCTATAAACGTTGAGCCAATCCATGCAAAGTTTAACGTGATTATGTACGCATTTGACCGCGGCGCCCTCTCCTGTATAGACGTTGAGCGGCTACATGCAACGTTTCATCCATGACATCCCCAGCTCTTGAGTTACTACCACATCTCGGAGCCCCCTACTCGTCCCGCAGTCGTGGCCGAGTGGTTAAAGCGATGGACTAGAAATCCATTGGGGTCTCCCCGCACAGGTTCGAATCCTGTCGACTGCGCAAACATTTTTTTTCTTTTTTTAAGAAGACAGATGGGATGGCAATCAATGTGAGCACGGACGCCGGACGAACAAGGCTACACCCTAAGGAGCTTCGCCCTTAAAAAGCTTTTTTAAAGATTTACGAATTAGCTCTTTTCACTCTGGGAAGCACATCACGGTCCATATTGTCCGTATAGAAGATCGATACAGTGGGACGGGAGACATGCACTCAACAAGGCCTCACGTCGGACGCTTTTGAAAAACATACACTAAGAAATTGGTATGCGCAAACGACCTTTCTAAGGAATCTCCTCTCTTTGCCATCACATGTGTCACACATAGAAACAATGAACTTGGGTAACTCTCAAGACAACCATACTTGAATGACAGTAAAAAAAATCTCGTCCTAAATTCAAAAAAAAAAAGCTTAGCCCACTAGATTTTACGCGGCAAAAAAAGGTATCCCGTCTAGTTCTTTCCCAGAAAGACTTCACGTACACGGCCATCAAATGGTACATGCGCTGCAAATGTACACGAGAGCAGTGCAGAACCTTTAACAGGTACCAAATGTTTGCAACAAAGAATAAAGTACACACCGTTGCCCGTGCGAAGATAGAAAAATCCTGGCCAAGCCCACTTTGCGGCTTTTAACTCGCTCCTCTGTTTTGTTACGCCAAAGCCCGTACTGAACATCTTCAAACGCGGAGTCAGGTTTCAGTGGCCATGCCAGATATCCAAGGATTTCGCCCAGCGAATGGCAAAACTTTCTTGGACATTCCGTGGAGTAAGACGTCAGTGAAATATCAAATTTCAAATTGATTTGTGATCTATGATATCCAGGCAATTACAGACCTTGAGAACATTACAATCTTTTGTCAAGAAAAGCAGAAATTTATAATTTTGTGAATTTGGCCCATTCTATTCGGGCAGCAGAGAAAAGCTCATCGGCCTTTTGCCAGATGCGGAGAAAAGTTCACCTACGAATCTAAGAATCAAGCTTTGTGGGCACCCTGGCAGCTCCCCAGCCCAGTTGCCCGACTGAGAAGCAAGGGTGCCGAACTTTTCCCGCGTGGCGGCGACGTCACGCCAGCCACGCGCACATCGCGTGCGCCGCCTTGATAAGGCGCATTAGAGGCGGCGCACAGAGAGTCGCTGCCTGGACTCAGGCGCCGGTGGTAACAATGTTAATCATCTCGTCCATGTCCCATTAAATGTAGTTTCTTGTTGTTGAAACCGTTGGCTCCGTGTTATTCCTCCGGGTCGGGTATGCAGCAAGGCAAACCGACCACAATGGCCCCCAAGCGTGGTATGCTACCCACTCGCAGGAATTTCACGGGGCTTGGTTTCTTCTTTCGGTAAGCCTTTTTCATATTCCCCGTGTTTCCTATCGTTGTTTCGTGCTTCCGTCACGTCCGCGTTTGTTGTATTGGCGTGTTTGTGACTGTAATTTTGTGACCGCGGCAATCGTTTTGCGCGCTTGTGTTGGGTTTTTGGGGGCGTTTCTTTTTTTGTGCTTGCTGGAATGCTTGCAGGACGCAGCACCCGGATGAAAGCCTGGTCCGGTACGTTCGGGTCATGCAAGAGCTCTTCAAGAGGGCGGACCCGAAGTCACCGGAATCGGACAGAGTAGCTCGGGTCAGAAGACAGTGTCACCCCAGGTACCATGGCTACCTGATCAACCGCACCTTTGCGACCCTTGAAGAGCTAGCCCGGGGCGCCCCCCTCATCGAGGAAGCTCTTCATGCCGAGCGGAACTACGTGCCGCCGCCACCAGCCAAGTACGCGCTCGAACTGGCATGCGCATGGCGGGGCCCCAAGGCCTCCGCGCAAGTGGACTGTCCGAACGAGACCTCCCTTCCCCACCACGTCAACCAGGAGAGTTGGTGTGGCATGCATGGTGATCTCCCGTGCGGGATAAGCGTATGTTTGCCTAACTCTCCCCGAGAGGTCCCCGGAGGTCACAGCGAGGCCCGTGAGGGTTTCGGGCGGGGGTCGCCACGACAGGTGGGAGGTCGTTGGCCGTGCCCTATTGTAAGCTGGGGCCCAACGGAGATCACCATCCAAGCGAACCATTTTCGTCAGTCTGCTCCTGCAAGTGCTGGCGAAAACTGGCACGGTGCGGTTGCAAACCCGCAGCCCAGCAGCATTGACCCCCGCCGCAACGAAACAAGCCCTCCCCACAACAGCCAGTCGCAAGCCTGGTGGAGGCCCTCCCATAGTGGTTCCTTATCCGATCACTGGAGGCGGTCCGACGGGCACCTCGGTGCGGGTGGCCTAAGCAGGCAACTGTCGTCGGACTGCTGCTACCACTGCGAGCAGCCCGGCCATCACCGAAACCAGTGTCCAAGACTTCTGGACACTACAAACAAGAGGTGGCACGAGACGGCGGCAAAGGGCCGGAACCAGAACCAGGGAAACTACTACGGCCGGCGCCGCTGGAACCAGACAGCCACTCGCCGACGGCCGTTGCAGTCCCTGGGAGCAGTGAGGCCGTGGCACAGATTCCATCGGTATGTCGAATTCAGACCAAGCCTAATATCATTGAACCGCGCATGACAATTTCACTGCTCGATTTTCCCATTGCCACACTTTTGGATTCCGGGGCTGCTATCTCGCTCATAGGGGATTTCGTTTTCGAACTCTGCAGAGTAAAAGAGATAAGCCTCCGGGAGTGCGAAACCCGTTTGCAGCTAGCTTCTGGTACAGCGATAACAGCTGGAGGAGCCGTGAGGCTGCAGATTTGGTTTAATGGAAAGAAGCGGCGTCAGCAATTTCTTTATCTGCCAGGACTCGTACCTGTGATCTTGGGCCGAGATTTCATTACAGGCGAAAGCGTGACGCTCGACTTTTCGGGTGGTGGATACCGGCTGGGACAACAACCGGAGCTGACTCCGTTTACCAAACGGGAGGACTGCATCTATAATCCGACCACTGTAGCCCACTTCACCACGGTGCCAGATGTCTTGCCTGTCGGCGTTCCGGACCGTGATACCCCGCAAGCTACGTAAGCTTCTCATCTGATACATGCATGACTCTGCCTTGGCAGGACAGAGCTGTGGGAGCAAGACTTGCGAAAAGTTATACCAAATTGCTACCTGGCCAGGCATGAGGCAGGATGTGCTCCGATACGCTCGTAGCTGCTCGGTGTGCCAGAAGGCAAAACA